TGTTCACGACTTTCTTCGTGTTAACTCATTGTACTCAGCCCTTGTTATGTTGCCATCCAAAAACCCCTAAACCCCCATACGCACAAGTGACAATCCACAGTGTAGGGGACCTAAATGTTAGGTCACTATGCCTAGTTACGATCACATAATTGTCATATATTCGCCTGTACAACTTTTTCTGCTAACACAACCCGATGTTATCTCTACAAACCAACATCAAATGCTCTAAACAACACATTCACTATACAAAGCACTACAACCAAACATAGTGAAATCACGAAACCGTAGTACTTGTGAGCTACTTTGGAATTAATGGAACAACAAACTAAAATATCATTATATCAAGGAAACAAATTCGGAATTGAGTTTGTATGTAGTAGGGTTACTTCATTTTTGACAAGTGGGACAATAACAAAATGAACATAAAATGTCCAAAAAACACTTTGCAACTGAATGTGCAACAGTTGTTGTTACAATAAGTAAGTCACGTTTCAAAGTTTCATGCACAATAATCAGAACCAAAAGGCCAAAGTGTCAACCTATGCATGTACTCATGTACACTGATCATTCAGGTGTAAACACCTTCTCCAAATTTTGCCACCTTACACTCAATTATAGTGGTCAAACCTCAATCAATTGTATTTGTAGATCTATGGGGGAGAATTGAATGACCTGATTCGATTGAAATTAACCATTACAGAGTTTAATAATCAACCTATTTTAGCTACATAGGTTAGACTTTTGGAGGATCGGGGGTGAGGGTATGGACGGAGAATTAGGTGTAGGATATGTTCCTATTTTGTACGAGTAATAGTATATCTTTGTTTATCTTAGGAGTGATTTTCATTGATCAATATATACAAAGTATAAGACGACAATAAGATCTACGTATATTTTCTACATCCTCACTTTCAAAAATCAGAGTTGTATGCTCCAGACATATGACCTCTGACTTTCTTGAATTATGGTCACACTCACAACTCACAAGCCTCAACTCCTCAAGGTAGGCACAAATTCATAAATCGCCTCAATGGCTCAACCAATAGACCAATACGTACTTAACTAAGTGCTATTAAATTCAAGTAATGACTTTATTACTTATGGTGAAATTTGTAAATTTCTTTTTACATATAAACAAAGCGCATCTCCTTGTAAGTTGTAACCACGACTTAAGAGGATGAAAATTTTTTGTATACACCCGGTTTACACTAATATTAGTATACATCGAGCAGTATAAGGGTAACTTTTAGCTAATTTCAGGATAAATTTTTGCCTTTTTTGGGTAAAATTTAATAATATAGACAACAAGAAAAAATAATTATAAAGGTAATTTAATTACATTCAACCACTAATAATTAATATTTAGTAATTTAAAATGTGATTTTTTTATTAATAAAGCGTAGATAATATTTATTTGTATTGAGTAACTTTTATTCGTTTTAGGGGTTACTTTTGCTTATTTAAGGATAATTTTATAATGAATGTATAATATTTTATTATAAATCCGATTTTTTAAGAAGTTTGTCGTAAGAATAAGGTTAGAAACATGATACGTATAACAATATAACAAATAACCCTATATAGGCTATATATAGGGTAATTAAGTCAATGGCTATTTAAATTGAAAAATTGAAGTAATATTTTTGTATATGTATAAGCTAACTTTCTAGTGTTCATGTCGGACCAATGTCGCATGAAGCTTCAATCGGCAATATTATTATTGCATTAATGAATTTGCGTGTAGGTCGAAGTCGTAATCGTATTAGGAATAGTAAACATGAGACATGTCAGATCATCTTTAGAAATGTTCGTGACATGGAATTTATATGTTTAGTGTAGTTTTTCCTTGCTCCATTGAATTGCAAACTACTCCGTATAGTACTTGTATTTTTATAAAAGTTGTGTACTCTCGATTTATTTACCCGTTTTGAGGTATTATTATTACCTCGCAATACATACACATTTTCATCCATTATTTATTAACTTTCCATAATTTCCTACACCTCCAAACCGGCCACCTTTTTATTCTATCAACTCGTCCGTAAATGATGGTTTAAAGTAACCAATCTACTCATTCACCCTTTTTCATTTACTATATCTTACTCTTTTTTTTTAACACATTTACGCCCAGTTCTTTGAGCTTTTGGGCAGAGCAGATAAGATTTCAGCATATATAGTATAAAATTTTATTATTATCGCATATTTATTATTGTTATTAAATATTATTATTAATTATTCTTTTTATTATTAAATATTAATTAATTATTATTTTTTTGAAAGTAAATAATAATTAATTAATATTTAATAATTTATAATTAATATTTAATAATTATTAATAATAATAATAAAAATAATGTTATTTTTAATATCAAATATTAATTATATTATTATTAATTATTAATTATTATATAATTATATATTAGTTATTATTAAATGCTATTATTATTAAATATCAATTGTTATTACTATTAATTATTATTTTTAAGCCGTGCAAAACACATTTCAACATAGTAGAGAAGAACAACTCAAAAGAATAGGGCCTTATACACTTTATTTTACTTTAAGAAGTTTGCATGCTTAAAATTGTTCAACTATTGCATTGACATTTAAATGTGATAATTATTACAACTATTACTCCCTCTGTCCTTAAATTACATTTCTACTTTCCTTTTTAGAGTTTCAAAATCCTTTTTTAGTAAGTGAATTTTTACCAAATTATCCTTATTCTCCAAGTTTATTCCCCAAAATGTCCCCAAATTATCCCTAAATTAGTGTGATGTGGCATTAATTTAATTACTTTTCCGTTTGACAATTAATGGTTACACAGAAACTATAAGTTGATTAGTCCATGTGAACAATTGCAATCCATATGTAGCACAATAAATGAATTTGATTGATCATTTTATTTTTCATAAACAAATGTGATTGGTCCTTTTTCTTTTCAAAGGATTGATGACATATGCAGACATTTAATATCATTCTGTTTTGTTTTATTCAAAGACAACAATAAATTAAATGTCTTGTAATTCTCATTGTACTTTCTAATTAGTATTTTTTTTTTTGAATGGCTCTAATTATGGGTTTTAAGGTTACTCCAAATTCCTTAATTTTAGGTACTCCAAGTTCCTTAATTCCCATGTAAATTTAGAAATAAGAATGTAATATAGAGAAGAAGGGAGTATTATAAAAACTTACAATTTCTAAGAAAAGTTGCACGTATGGATAGTATTTAATATACTTTTAATAATAGAGATAAAATAGAGTATGAAAAGGAAATTAATTAGATATGTATCACATTGAAAAAAGGTTTAGTCAGGAAAAAACACTAGAATAAGAATTTAATTTATTTTCAATCCTTAAAAAAATATTAAATATTAAAAAAAAAAAAGCACAATTTTTTTTTTTATTATTTTTTTTAACAGTTGTTTAATCCTGAGTTACGTCGTCCAAAATTGTATCCCAAATAAGTAATAAATAAATAAATACGTCATATTGATTAAAAAAAACCTTTATCATTTATGAAAGCATGTACATACGTTGGTATGGAGTCGCTAAATAACGAAAAGGACAGACAACAATTGAGGGTTGAATTACAGAAGCTAGTTGTGGCAACTAGTCCTTGTTTGGAGCTGAGGGCCATACTTGAATTCATAACATAACATATATAGTTGTGGCATTCAACTTTGTCTTGCTCTTCTAAAACCAACGGCTCATAAACTTGGTACCATATCACATCTTCAATTTTTTGAAATACGAGTTGAGTACATACGTATGTATGTAGTTGAAATGATAAGGTTATTTCTGTGGATTCATTCATCATTCTTATTATATTGCTCAAACTTTACACAAAAATAATTTATAATTAATGCCTTGATTTTCAAGGTTAATATCATAACTACAATTTCAGATTTGCAATTAGTTGTTTGGCAATTATGATGTTGTATCTCTAGCTTAGTATAGTGGCATTGGGGTATATTTTTTTTTTTAATTTTTTTTTTAAAAGGTATTTTGGGTTAAATAATGTTTATATGATATGATTATATCAATAGTAGTACTAAAACAAAGAATGCTTTGGAATACTTCAAATTAGGCTTGGATTTAAGTAGTGAGTTGGCTTTTGGAAAAAATTCAGGTTGCGTTTGACCCATTCAATTATGGTAAAAAATTCATGTAAAGAGGCCATCATTTAAAGTTCGGGTTGACTATTCAGGCTGGTTTAGTTTTTGGTGTATTGAAAATGAGCTTATCATGCAAAAATAAAAATTTCAAATAAATATATTTGATTTTTATCAAATCTGTTTAGGTTGGGTCAATTTTGATTTGAGACAGTTTCACTTATCTTGTTTAGTTACATTTTATATTTTACTTGTGTGAAGCATGCACTTTTGGGTATGGATTCAAGTAAAGTATAATTTCAATTCTATAAAGATAAGAGTGTAATAAAATAAGAGTTTTCCATGAATAAGGCTGACACGAGTACACGACACATGATCGAGAATCATGCAAGCATGACATAAAACTAGCGTAAAGGCCTTAAAAGAAGTAAATGCAAGTGGGCAATGGGTTACGTGGACAACATTTTCAAAATTTGACACGAGTACGACGGCTCGCTTAGTTTATTTTGACCAATCTATAATACAAAGTATTATAATTAATGAGACTCGCTAACACAACTCATGGACCTAACCGCACACTGATTCGTTTATAAAATTCATCATAAGCTATGCACAATACAACTTTGTTTAGACACGAGTGCACAATCCGCTAAAGCATCAGATACACTAGCCCGTGCCCGGCTCTAATTACAATTAAGAAATAAATGTAAGGATAACATAGAATATTCATAACCTCAAAACATATTAATTAACTTAACTTTGATTATAATCAACTTCTCAATTGGGGAATAAGTGAACCACACTTCTAATCATTTAGTAACATGACTAGCTTAGCAACTTTTAATTAATTCTGACCTCATCAAACCCCTAGTGTAGTATTTGTGGGCTAGTTAAGTTCCAACTTTGCGCCTCTTTAGTCCAAAAAACCAAACCTCACAGTTCACTTTTTCCCTCTATTTAATCCCCCTTACCCCGCTCCCATTTTTCCTCAACTCACATCCCAAACTTCTTTACTTCCCTCACCACTTTTGCGCCTTTTCTAGCTCGCTCTTTACTCCTTTAGTGCACAAATTCTTACACTAAAGGAACCCAAACATGTCTCACGTTGTTTACCTTGTCCTCACCATTTCCTCTCTTCTTTTTTACTCTTCCTTTGCTCATCCCCATGCCGGTCAAGGTTGGACCGAAGCTCACGCCACCTTTTACGGTGGTGGCGACGCTTCCGGCACCATGGGTATGCCATTTTTTTTTTATCTATTTTTTTTTCAAATTTTGAAGTATCTATCCGCTCACTTACTGTAGTATATCATCCCACCTCCTCTAGCTGATACACTAACTCAATTTAGTTAGTAAGTGAGCGGATAGATACTTTATTACGAGGAGGTGGGATGATATACTAATTACAACACTTTAAAAATAGATACAGTCCAATTTAACAAGCCAGACCATAAGACGGTCCAATAATTTAATTACTAACAAAAATGTAGTTTCTTAGCAAATAATTATATATGTAAATGCATGTTGATTAATTGTTGAAATTTTGGTACAAATTTTTTCAGGAGGGGCATGTGGGTATGGAAATTTGTACAGCCAAGGCTATGGTACGAACACGGCGGCATTGAGCACGGCGCTGTTCAACGACGGGTTGAGCTGCGGTGCGTGCTACGAGATGCGGTGCGTTAACGACGCGAGGTGGTGTCTTCCTGGGTCAATTATTGTGACGGCAACAAATTTCTGTCCACCAAACAATGCGTTGCCAAACAACGCAGGAGGTTGGTGTAACCCTCCCTTGAAGCACTTTGACCTTGCTCAACCTGTTTTCCAACAAATGGCTCACTACAAGGCTGGAATTGTCCCCGTTTCCTATAGAAGGTTAGTTACTCGGGTTCACGGGTTACATATAAGGAGCTAAAAATAAAATTACGGAATGTGAAGTTAAAATAAATATTAATGGTAGTCTATTGCCATGTGATTTAATTATGCATATATCATTAACCATTAATTTTTTTTTGTTAGTTTAATTCTAACTGTCGTTAGTTCTTTACTTTAACTGTTTTGGGGGTTGCTTTTCGTAAGTTGGGGGATAAAGTTAATTAATTTAGTAATTTTCTTTTTTATTAATTCAGAAAAAGTAAATGTACTTGGTAGTGAAAGAATACACTAGTGCTCATCTTTTAGCTAGTTCCATGTTATGTGTTTGTACTTTGTAGTTTATATTTGTGAAAGGAACAATAATTGTTTGATAAGCTTGGCATGTTTCTTCATTCATGCATATATAAAAAAGTCACACAAATATAAGTATGCACCAAACTTATATTCTTAGTTTCTTACAAATATTAAGGATAATTGAACTTGATTGCATATAGAACTTTGGTTAATCATGATTAACATTGATTTTTGTCTATTTTGACAACAAAAGGCACAAAAGGCCATCGTGTATTCATATGTACTTCCTCCGTTAGATTAATAAAGTTAAAGTGAGAATGCAAGAAGACCACTTTTGGCATATTAAACCCGCCACTTACCCAAAAATATTGTCCCTACCTTTTTATTACAAGGGCATTTTTAGTTTTGTCTTAGGTGTTAATAATTTGTCAAATATGGTACTCCCTCTATACCAATTAAGTATTTATCTTTTCTCCATATCACATTTTTCATTTATGTTACATGTACTCCGTAACAAATAATATGAAACGGATGTAGGATATTACGAGTACAATTCATTACTCAAGTTAAGCTATGATTAACTTATTAATATACCAAACTTTATTCCATATTTCCATACCACATCAAAATCATAAACCTCTTTATACATCCACCTTGGAAAGGTACCAAACCCTAAAAACAAGAACAATTACTCATAATCTTTTATGTGACATGTCCAAATACTATGCCATTAAATTAAAAAGAAAAGCATAATATTAATAATAATCTTATGTATGTGAATGCAGGGTAGCATGCCGAAAGAAGGGTGGAATCAGATTCACAATCAACGGTCATTCTTACTTCAACTTGGTTTTAATCACCAACGTTGGAGGTGCAGGAGATGTTCATGCAGCCTCAATCAAAGGCTCCAGAACTAATTGGCAATCTATGTCAAGAAACTGGGGGCAAAATTGGCAATCCAACTCTCTCCTCAATGGTCAAAGCCTCTCCTTTAAGGTCACCGCCAGTGACGGCCGAACCGTCACCGCCCTTAACGTGGCTCCTCCTAATTGGTCCTTTGGCCAGACTTACTCCGGTGGCCAATTTTAATAAAACATAAATATCACTAGAAAAAAAAGGAAAGTCATAATTTTACTAGGGCATAATTAATTAAACTAAGTGTAGTTTTTTTTTTATTAATACAAAGTGTGGGGTACACAATAATAAGGGTTAATTTTAGTGTAACCCTTATTAAGTTATTATATATCAGTCCTGAATTTAAAAAGGAAAATTAAAAAATTGATTTGGGCTTTTTTTTGTAACACCAAGCCCATTTCATATTTTTTAATTTTCTAAAAAATTCAATTATGGGTCATGGGTTATTTTATTTCTGTCCTGATATTATAACGGGACAGAATTTAGGCAGGGGTGGGTTTTTACCACCCGCCAATATTTAATTGGTTATTTTAGAAGTGAGTTTTTTTTTTTTAGGAATAATTAAAGTTTGGTTTGAAAGTTGAGTTAAGTGATTATTGTCTGTTAAGTTTGTGTTTAAGCAAAATCAAGTGTAATCACTGCATTAGAAGTTAAATTATGTAGTTTGTTACGAGTATAAAAGGGTGTTATTATTATATTTTTGAGTTATGATTGAAAGTTATTTTTGTTATTGTATTGTGTTTGTTGTTATGCCATGATATTAGTACAAGATACTTTCTACCTGTCGATGTGCACGCCTGCATGAAGATCATGTGGGATGTCAATGATTCGACAGCCAGATATAAAGACACTTAAATGACTCTATTTATTCTTGCTTGTACATAGGACTGCCCGACCATAGGAACTGACCGATCGTGCACCGTAGTTAATACTTCCTCCGTTTTATATGTGTGGCATCATAGTAAAAATATGTACTCGTAACTACTAATTGCTTATAATTTTATTCGATAATAATTATTCAGTTACATAATGTTGCTCAAGTCAATGTGATGTTTAACCAAACATCAATTGCAATATTAAAGCTGTACAACTGCATGAAAATTATTAAATCATACGGAGTACAAGATTATATTCAATGGTCAACCAAGTGAGAAAATTGTTTAGCAATATAACAATCTGTTCGGTTTCAATCAATTCAGTTCAATAAATCGAAACAGACTCTTATTCTTTTTAGAAATAAACCATACCTCCGCCAAAAAGAAATATGTATATATATATATATATATATATATATATATATATATATATATATATATATATATATATATATATATATATATATATATATATATATATATTAAAAAAAAAAAAAAAAACCTTCAAAATTGGTAAATCTTACCACATAAGTATTGTCAACGTCATTAAAAATTAGATATTATGAACAAATACATTTAGAAGAATCAAATCTATGATTAGTTTTGTTTCTTGTATAATGTATATACAAAGTATATGAATACGAATATGATCAAAATTCAGTAGATCAGATTGGTCCGTCAGGTAAACATTTTAGAGCCCAGACCATTATTCTTCAAAAATTCAAATTAGAAATATAGATTGAAAAAATTGAGCAGGCTGGTCAAAAAGTGTGTCAAGCCCAATGAGGATGACATGGGAGATTGTGCTTAGCTCTTACACAAATATCATGGTTTGTTCACAAATTGACCAGGCCCATTACTCGATGCACCAAACACAAACAGTCACGGATTGTGTTCAACTCGCATCCCGTGGTCTTACAAGAATAATGGCGAGAGCTTGAGCTCTCATCAATTTTGAATAATTTTCGACTTTTTCAAACTCTTAAAAAATTAAAGAGAATGAGATGCTTTTCATAAACTCCAAGACTATGATCTCATGATAGTTAAATACGTGTTTGGGCAACACCCACAAATCAAAAAAGAGGAGGAGAAGTAGTCTCTTAGCCTTATTAAGTGATTAGAACTCTCTTCTTTCGACTAATACGAGACTATTACATGTGGTGATATTGGGAAGTCTATTCTTCAATAGCATCACTAATCAAGTTACCATCTTGAAAATTTTCAACACTAAGTCCCAAAACCTCCAAAAATGATTTGATTTTGTGTAATAGGGCCTGTTCTCATATGATTATTTTTATTTCAATTCAGTTGAGCTTTAATAAGTTCAGTTCAGTCGAGTTCAGTTCAGCTCCTAATTTTCTTCTTTTATAAAATATTCAGTTCAGTTCATTTCAGATCTAATAAGTTCAGTTCAATTCAATTCAATCAATGCCCTTAGTTGCAGTTTTGGATAATTTTTTGCTTTTCTAGTAGATAAAAAAATGTAAGATGTTAGGATGCTACCCATAGACCCCCGGGCACCAAGAGAGCCCATTATATGAATTAGGTCCTACAAATTCTGAAAATGATACGATTTTGTGTGTATAACCTTCGCATTTAGACGATTTTTTGATTTTAACAGACCTGAAAATGTGAATGGTCGAGGTGTTTATTGAACCCACGATACTTTGAGAGTCCATTTGAGTCATTATGTGGTTTCAATTATCTATTTGTCTTTAAACTGTCAATTTAGCCATTAATGTACATATAACCCTTATTTAACTAATCAAATCAGTGACTTTATATTAAGTGAAGATAAGCTTCATCAACTAAAACATAAAAAATAAAAAATTACAAGATGGCTTAAAATTTCTTTGTTGTTTATATCATATGGTTCTCTCTAACATTACCCAAGAACTAACTCAAATCCTACTTAATCCTCATCATAGTAGGGAACAATAGAACACATTTTGATATCATCCTAGATATAATATGGATGGTTTGAAAGAAATACAGCCTACCAGCTGTCAATTGCTAAATGGGTAACTAAAATTCAAGTTATGAAAAATCTTCCTACGTGGCATCAAAATGGGACCCATATAATCTATAAAAACCAGCAGAAACAAAGCAATAGATATATGGATATAACATTAGATAAGGATAGCAAAAATCATTTCTCATTGGCTAATCTCCAACTCTCAAAGACTCAAAACCCAATCTTAGCCGTTGGATTACCCCACCAAAAAAAATCCAAGTCACCAAAATAACACTTCATTCCCAATAAACAAGAGCCACAAGACATGCATTAGAAATGAAATTACAAGGGATAGTGTAACATAACATCAACATTTTGTTACACATCTTTTTTTTGTTCCTGCCTAGCTAACAAGCTAGTTTGGTTGAATTAAAATTTAATTGATCAATTGAGGATGGCAGCCGTGACAACACAGGCTTCGATTGCCGGTTTCCGCCCGTGCGCGTCGAAATCAAGGTTTTTGAGTGGTGTTCCAGGGAAGCTTAACAAGGAATGTGGTGTTGGCAATGTTAGGTTGCCCTCTACTACAACTACTAGTTCTCTCAAGGTTGAGGCTAAGAAAGGAGAGTGGTTGCCTGGTTTGGCTTCTCCTGACTATCTTACTGGCAGGTAACATTTAACACTTTATTCAACTCTTTTAAACTATACTTGATCAAGTCTTCTAAATTAACAACAGAATCATTAAGAGTTAAGAGTATTTTACACCTAGTAAAATCAATTTATTTTATTAAAATTGTAACCCCTTTACTTAAAATAATTAGTTACATGATAGTACGGAACATGAATGTCATGAAATGTTCAGAAAAAGTTATATAGGCAAAATCATTTAATCATCCGATCGTAAATATTAGAGGCCAATGCAGTTGTTACATTAAAATCATGATTGTTGTTTTTAACTGATTAATAACAAACTTAAAGAATCTAGCTGAAAAATTATCAATAACAAGTTGCCTTAAGAATTGTGGCCTTAGGGCCTGTGCTCATACGATTATTTTCAGTTTAACTCAGCTCTAATTAGTTCAGTTCAGTTCAGCTCCTAATTTCCTTCTATTATAAAATATTCAATTCAGTTCAGCTCAACTCTAATAAATTCAGTTCAGTTCAACTGAGTTCAGTCAATGAGAACATACCCTTAGTTTAAGCCACTTATCTTAGATGTATGTAAATATGTAGATGATATTTGGTGAAGTAGATAGACATTTTTTAGTACAAGTTTGCAAATTGAACTTAACACTTTTGTGTACAATATAATTCAGTCTTCCAGGAGACAATGGATTTGATCCCTTGGGACTAGCTGAGGACCCAGAGAACTTGAGGTGGTTCGTGCAAGCCGAGCTAGTGAATGGGCGGTGGGCAATGCTTGGAGTTGCCGGTATGCTGCTACCAGAGGTGTTCACAAGTATTGGTATCATCAACGTACCAAAATGGTATGATGCAGGGAAGTCAGAGTACTTCGCCTCATCATCAACCTTGTTTGTGATCGAGTTCATCTTATTCCACTATGTCGAGATTAGGAGATGGCAGGACATCAAGAACCCTGGATGTGTTAACCAAGACCCCATTTTCAAGCAATACAGCTTGCCTCCTAATGAATGTGGTTACCCTGGTGGTATATTCAACCCTCTTAACTTTGCACCTACTCTTGAGGCCAAGGAGAAGGAGCTTGCTAATGGTATAGCCTTTTTCCTCTTCTAATGCTTGCAATATGCATCTGTTTTTCGTTCTCTTTTCAGTTAGTCGATTTGTGGGACTTAGACTAGGCCTTGTAAGTGGCTGTTTTAGCTAAATATGCAGTTGCTTAGCGAAGTAGGACTAGAGTTTGAGGTAATCTGATGGAAATATTTGTCAAAATCGAGCTGATCTTTGTATGTTTCATTTTTGGCAGGGAGGTTGGCTATGTTGGCATTCTTAGGATTCATCGTGCAGCACAATGTGACCGGAAAAGGGCCTTTCGACAACCTTCTGCAGCATCTGTCAGACCCATGGCACAACACCATTATCCAGACATTGTATGGTAACTAAGTCCAACTCGACTAGTAGATGGAAAGACCATGTTATCATAGTTCTTTTGTAACAAATCAAATCTTTTGTGGACTATATGATATTGAGCTTCTCTGGTAATTATTGAAGGGTTTTCAATGTACAGGACAACTAAAGTTGGCACTTCTGTTTTTACTAATCTTAGCTTTCATAAAATGATGGTCTTTACTGCTCTTATTCTCAGACTCCTGAGCTACTTTCACTTCAAAGTAACCATCTCGCATTGAGCATACCCAGTATCACTCAATTCATATACGAACTATCTGAAAATATATATGAATACAAAGATTGGATTTACCACACCAAACTTTTTGACAATCAATCATAATTCGACCTGATCCAAACATCTAATAATTCGCCACCTAAAGGTGAATGAAATTGAAAATACCCGAACAGACCCGTTTGTCATCATTGTAGATGTGATTATTAGGTTACATCAATTTGTTGTAAGGTTACCAATCTAGTAGTTGCTTAGAGAAGACCAATCTCAATATCTTTTTAAGCAAAAAATTGTAATGTATTATGTGATTCGGAGTATGTTTTAAGTTACAGTAAACTCTGCAGAGTGCAGAACTCTAATTTACAGGATCTGTAACTAGAAACCTCAGCAAAATTGCCCCAAAATGGGAGGAAAAAACAAAAAATGGGATAAAAAGAGTAAAAAGGCCCTATTCACAGTTGACATACTTTGTATTTTTTTCAAGAATGTGCTACATGTATCCACCTATACTTTCTATACATAATATACTATACAGCAAGTGTTATGGTAAATCAGACAACCCAACAAATCAGACATCCTCAAATGTATCACCCAGAACATAAGATTTGATTAGTTGAACTTTTATGCTCCCATAATTGACATTCATCACGGATTTAAGCCTCTGCTAACATGCGCCCTATCCTCTTGGTCGCCATCGTGGATTAGCCAATACCTCAGTCACAAATTAGGCTGCAGCACGATTAAAACAATTCTTAGTTGAAGAGTATCATGTAGACACTAAGCACATACATGCACAACAGAGAAGTTTTTAAACACATACAAGTACTAGTTTAGAAAAGTGTGTCAGCATCCTGATTTTGCTGGCCTTTATAATTTTTTTTTTTTCTGTGACACTGTGTTCTCACATTAAGATGTTATCAAGCAATTATGGAGCTATTAACCAATATATAACAGAAAGAAATCATCAAAGAGTAAAACTAAACTTTGTAATATACAAAGGCTCATGCCAGAAACTTTTTCCTTTGCTTATGAAAGGATCAAAATAAACTCCCCGGATAACATCTTTCACAGGCAACCAACACACATGACAGTAATTAAATTAGCCTAATTCAGGTGAACCATGTAAAATTAAAGAATTTGGATGATAGGGAAGTAGAGGTATCCATTTCCCCTTGTTTGAGAGGAAGGAAAAAAGAGGGGTGAGAGAGCAGGATCAGTTCTACTCCCCTTTATATAAACCATATCCTTCCAAATGTTGAAAAGATTTGGTAGGACAATGCACTAATGCACGGATACACATTCCCTTGCCTTGCCTTGCCCTGCCTTCCCTTCCCTTCCCTTTCCTTACTCATCCCCTCCTTCCCTTCCCTCCGATCTATTTCCTCTATAATCTTTACGCTCTATGTTGACTTCTAGTCCAATTGAAGCTTGGGTTGTCAAGTCCATGAAAGAAATGGATACCTCTATCTGCTGTATTCTTCATCATAAAATAGATTTTTTTTTTTAAACCATTGAACTTGTAGCGGTAATTGGCAGCTAGAGAAGATGTGCAAGATATAAGGAGTAAGTGTAAGCCAAGACAGACCTAAAACCAAAAAGAGAATGCGAGTCATATGGTGCACAGATGGCAGTTTAATCCCTGTGGTCATTGGTGAATAACCAAATAACATGATTTTCACAGCATGGCTATTGGCGAGACAGAATTTCAGATTCTTGTGGCTTGGCAAATTGTTTAAATAGCTGTAACTTGTTCGAAGGAAGAAGGATAAAGAAAGAAAAATTCTGAAGACACACCAGAAAGCCATATGACAGCATTTGAGCTCCAAGAATATTCTTAAGACCGCATTATCATACACCATTAAAAGCATTAATGAAACTCTCTTAACAGGGAACCTAGAAAAGAATGGCAAAAATCAAGATATCGGACATGGAATTAACCAACACAATATCAGATGCTATTGAGAACCAACCTGTGGGTATGAATTTTCATTGAACATAGGAATGGGACATTGCAAAGCAGCAGGAGCCCATGGTTGAGGCCTTGTATCATATATAGATCTAGGCATATCAAAATGACCAGGAATTTGGTAATCCATCGGATTGCCTTGAAAATTGATCCCATTATCTGGCATCACTTTCTTCTCCTCGGGCAGATTAATATTTCCATATGGGGAGTATGGATACTGCTCACCAATTTGAACTCCCATGCATGCATTTGCAGTCAGCTCATTTAAGCTACCACAATCTTGTCTCGCGTTCTCACACTGTCTGGCATTTTCCATTTCCAATTTGGCATCGCCGTAGTATCCAGAGTATCCAGATAGAGAAGCATCACTGGTGCACTTCATATCTCTGAAGAAAACATTGATAATATAGAACAGACATAAGTATGTTGAAGAAAAGGCAGAAGAAAGATACTGCTGCTGTTGAAAGAACTAATCATGATATTGATTTTACAGAACAATACATAATGGCAATTTATTTACAAAATCCTGCAAAGTACTGCAGGACTATTTTATACAGTTTGGCAAAAGAAATTTTAAGGTAGTAAAGGAATAGGACTCACCTATGAGATAAAAAGTTTGTGTCTTCAGACAGCAGTAGATGTTGATTGTCATTACTCGAAAGCCATGATAACAGCTGGCATTCTTGCATATTACCCATCATCAAAGGAATATGCATCCCATTCTGAAACTGGAATATGAAAAGTAATTGTATGATCTTCCAAAGACAATGAAAGTATGCCAGCCAGTAAAAGAATGATTTCCACCTCAATGGATGTGTGTAGGTACTTTACCTGGTTACTGCAATCTAGAGACATAAATTGGTGTTTTCCAATATTATCCTGTTAGGTGAAAATTGCATGCATTAGTTACAAATGAAGTTCAGCAGTTGGATTGTAGGATAAGTTATGACTTATTGACAAGATTACAAGTTAACCAACAAAAAAAATCATTTCCTTTAAAGTCTATAGTAAGGATGTTTTGCAACAATTTTCTAGCACAATGTACATATATACTATTACTGACATTAGGAAACCTTAACCATAACCTTCACCACCAATTTTTTTGAAAAAGTCAAGGTAATGATAATGTTCCTTCCATCCCAAAGCTATGTTAACGTCTATCATTTAAGGATTTATAGCTATGTTGACAATTTGACATACTACTTTTGACCACTTTGTTCTCTCTAATATATCTCTTAAGTTGGAACCACACCCACCCACCATCCCGCCCTACTTCTTCAGTTCTTCTCCCTCCTTAATCTATGTGCCCTAAAGCAATGTAAACTAGGCTCTAATATGGAAGTAATAGTAGAATTAAGCAATGATGAGGTAAAGTGAATAGAAAAATAAATAAATAAATAAATATTGCTGGTGCAACATATTTGTACCTTGTGTAAGCGGATTTGGTTAAGTGATTCCTTCAAGGAGTTTTCCATCTGCCGTAGATGCTCCACATTGTCAATCTTATCAGGATTACTCCAACAGCTGTTCAATAAAAGTACCGTGGAAAAAAATTATGGACTGAAATTATGCTCAACACACAACACCTTATTAATAGAAAGACAGCATGATACTATCATCCTGGTGTGCATCCAGACATGGTACAATTGAGGTTTACAGACTCCCCTATATCATTTCTGAAATAGTAGGCCAAACAATGCATTACATAAAAAAGAATAACATATAAGAATTTCACTGCAAGTTCGACACAGCTTCATTTGCCAGTAAATTTGAAGAAAAGAAAGGTCTAGCATTAGCATTCACCATTTACATGAAATTACATAAACTGCCGAGTTTCCTAGATAACAATAGAAACCTAAACAAGATTACTAAATACCTCTGAAAGCTAGAAACATGTAAAAGACACATTATGAATAGCAATCATCATATTAGATCAATTGCACAAGTAGATAAGACACAGAGCCTATGCATGAAGTATAGCAAATGCTTCGTATAATATTGGCAGGTTGAGCTAGAACTTTGAAAACCCTTAATATCTCAACAATAAATAAGAAAGGTAAATTTAAATACTTTCATGTACACTGCAACAAATTTGGAGCATAGTCTACATGAATATGTGAATGTTCTTGCCAGAAAATGCTTAGTCAAAAGCAATACTTGAATAGTTAAAAGTCAAAGGTGCACCTCAATCGCTTATGTGCTTCTGTAATCTGTGCTTGCAATAGCCCCACTTGGTTAGCCAGTTCCTATTCAAATCAGGAAATTAAGCACAAAGAAAAAGCTAGTCTCATGTAAATCACTCAAGTGAACGAGCAACCAATCATACCTCAGCCGTTTGACTACTGCAAAGCAAAATATAACATCAGATCCTTTCAAAGTTTGTCCTTTTAATTACGATACAAAATTTTTTTTATAATTGCATACCTTGAAGCAACAAAATCTTCTATATTTACATCATGGTCACACTTCTTAAAAGTTTTCTTTAGTGCCTATGAATAAAAGAAAGAAAGAATCAGAATACATAAATTCAATATAAAAGACAGCTAACCATTGTAACATGAAGAAAGGAAATTCTTACTTCAAGACTCTCCAATTTCCTGTTGCAACAAAAACACAAACAGTCAGACACGATTTTCAAATCAAAATCTCAAAACTGGTGATAATAATGCAAAGGTTAATTCAAACCTTTTTGCCCTTTCTTGTGGAGTTAATTGAGCAAACTTGGTGATGACTTGTTCAAGGTTGCTGAAAATGCATACAGGTACAAAACTTCAAACTTTCAAAAATATAATGATAGACTACGCTTTGATAATGTTTTATACTACCTCCATCCCATATTATTTGCAACAATTTGACATACAGTAGAGAGGAAAAACATCCAAAAGCACTTTTATACACCCTTCACAACTCAAAGTGGCTTCATACCAATTTAAGAGAAACCTTCCTAACATACATAGTTAATAGTTTCCCAAGCTCTTATAGTTAACCAACCAACAAGTATTTCTTATTTTCATTATAATCCTTCCTAATCATGTCACTAATCAAATTTTCAAACATTTGTTCTTCCAAAGGAAACATGATTAGATACAATCTCACTTTCTCCCCTCTTCGAAATCATAACATGGTTTCAAGTCCTACATACATACATTGATGTAACATTCACAAATAAGAGAAACCAAGCAAATCAATAATTCTTAATAAAATTATACCTACGCTCTCCAAGGAATAATGTTGGCTTCCCAGTGGGAGAGAACATGAGCAAAACAATGTCAATATCACATAAGATAGCCAACTCCCTAGCTTTCTTAATGATTCCGGTACGCCGTTTCGAATAGGTTACTTGACGGTTGCTACTGCTTTCCAATCTTTTGATCTTTAGTTTAACCCTTCCCATTCTTCAAGATTATTAGCAAATGCTCTCCGGCCAAACAACCGCCAATCACCTTTGCAACTTCTTTTTCTTATGCATCCTTAACAACATAAACTTGTCAAAATTAGCACATTATTCATCAACATAATGTACCACAAACATATAGCAAATAACCCGAGACTTAATCCCGGGGTGGTATCCAAGACCTGAGATCAAACCCCGTCTACATTGCATAGGTTAATAATTGGAATTTCGATTATAAACAATAAAGGGTATGCATCAATATCATTATTATGATTATTAAAATAATTAAAATGATGAAAAATTGAAAACCCAGATGCAAAAAAACAAAGAAAGACAAAAATTGCACAAGTTAAAAAAAGAAACAAGGAAAAATAGGACATACCATGCAAGATAGATATCCAAAAAAAGAGAAAAACCCAGAAAAAGGGGAAAAGAATGAAAAAATTAGAAACCCAAAAATGGTATAGATAGATAGAAGAATCAAGATGATGATGATGATGAATATGGAAGAAAATTAAGAGTGAAGAGAGAGAAAAAGGGAAGTTGGAAAAAAAGGGGTTGACAGGTAGAGCTGTGATTACGGGGGGTAGAGGCTGGAGAATCGGGCGGTGTTAGAAAGTTCTGTGCGTTGGGTTTGCGAGTGAAATAGGGAGATTGGAGAATCACAAGGAGAGGAAGAGAGAGAAACAGATTTATCAACCATGAAATTGAAATTGAAATTGTGTTGTTTTTGTTTGCAATTGCAGGGGAGCTAAGCTTTTGATTTATGAACCCTTTTTTGGTTCATTTCTAGGCACCCATTTCTTGTTCCAATTTCCCGATTTTCCCGGGAAAAACACTCGCTAGTGTAATGCGTGATTTGTATACGGGGTGGTGGGTGAAAATTCGGCTTTCGGTTTGACTCAATTACAAATCGTATGAATTAGGTTTCTAGTCCAATTGTATTTATAATTAATTGGATTTAATATCATCTTTATATGCTTTTGTTTTGTGAACTTTATGATTAGATTGATTACTAAAAATCGAGTTTTATAAAGTGTTTATATAATGACCCTTACAACTTACAAAAACTTTTGTGTAAATCCGATTTTCATAATATACTGTATATCAAAGAGTTTCAAGCTAACTTAGCATCAATTAAAAGTTAAAACCAAATATTTACGGTTTGTTTGGCATCATTTTTTTGTTTTCAGTTTCTTTTTTTTTAAAAAAACCAAAAAAGGAAACAAGAAAAAGGTGTTTCCACTTTTCTGTTACCAGTTTTCAAAATTATCATAATTTTAATAAGTTAAAATAATTTTAATAAGTTAAAATAATTTTTGATTCATTATGGAGCATATATCATATACTTTTAAAAAAACAAAAAACAAAAAACCACAGCAATACCAAACGAACCCTTATTTATTTATTTTAAATATGTACGGATGCTTTCTCCGCTTAATACTTCCTTTGTAATTTTTATTTTTTATTTTTTATTTTTTTTATACTTTTAGTTGGACTTTTGACACTATATTTAACTTATGACACTTTCACCCTAAAACATAATCATGTAGTTGGATCATTTTATAGAGAATATTATTGTTATAACTTAGGTTTGAAATATATATAGTGTAAATAACAAATTTTCTAGCTTAAATATGTATTGATTTCATACCGTAAAAGAAGTATATTGTTTGTGATATTTCAATTCCAAACACATTATATTTATTATTTTTGAAATAAATAAAAATAAAGTGATGAAATAAACAGGGAATATATTGTTTGTGAATTTCAATTCCAAACGCATTATATCTATTATTAACAATAATTTTACATTATAAAATCATTATTTTTTGTTCTTTTATTATGGCAAAGTTTGAACAAACTTCAATATATATAAGAGCAATTGACTGCAAAATGATGTTTTCAACCTGGTTGAAACATTTCATCTTATTTGGAATGATATGAATTTTCAGTATTGATGTAATATTAAAAATAAAATACGGATAATACAATATTTAAAATGATAGCAATTTTAGATATATGGTTTAGTAAGGAAATATTGACAATCCAATAAGATATAATATTAATTTTAATTAGTTATTTTAAATTGTGAAATGTATTTTTTTTTCAATTGAAAATTTTCCTTATTTTATTTCATACAACTTTATAAAGTGGGTTAGTTTCAACCCAAACATGATCAGGCAAAGGCATAGTAACATCCATCTCGATAAAAAAATTTCCGCCCTAATGCAATAATAATGTCATTTTTTTTTTTTTGGTGTGGAGATATCCTATTTAATGTTTTTGAAATTTAATTATATTAGAAACCTCTTCATTACAACTATCAATATCGTAGGAAATTGAAACAATTTTAAATAGCTAACTAATAAATGAATTCTTATATTAAACTATGTCTCAGACGACGTACAAATATTTTTTGTATGTAATACTTATATATATATACCTGTATAATAGCCATTTTTTAAAAAAAATGTACAAATTACAAATAGATTTTATATAAACCGTGCACACGGATCTAACCGAGTTGAAGTATAAAAAAAAAATTTATATATATAGCTGTGACATTGACTCCGAGAGATCACAAGTGTTTTAAAATACAAAGTCGTTGCAAAAAAAATCTATAGCAACGACAATTGTCGTTGCAAGGTCGTTGCGGGTACCTCCGTCACTAAAAATCGGTGTGACGACAAAAGTCGTTGCGAAAAATTAATAATTTGCAACGACTATTAGCGTTGCATTAAACTTGTCGTTGCCTTACCTATGAAATCCAAAACTATTAGAAGGAAATTATGGCAACAACTTTTGTCGTTGCAATATGTTGAATAATCTTTTGCAACGACATTTGTCGTTATAAAAACACCTTTTAGTGCAACGACTAATATCGTTGCTTTATTTAATTTGGTGTATGGTAACGACAAATTAAATGTCATTTCAAAATAGTTGTATGTTGTAACGACATTTATTGTTGTGATAATGCATTATATTTTTTACAACAATACAAGTCGTTGCTAATTTATGGTTTAGCGATAAATCTTTGTAGAATTATTTATTAATTTATTGGAAATACAAATAGGTAAATTGCTAATAAGTTAATATCTATTTAACATGTGTAATATTTAACATAACACAAGTGATTATATCCAAAACATTAGATAAATATATACATCTAATAGTCTAAGTCAACATTAAACATGACTTCTCCCAAAAGATTACATCCATCTTTGTTCCAAAAGGCTAATTTTCTAGTCATCCCACCAATGTACAACAAGTAGTCATTGTGCAAAATAAAACCTATACTACATATCATCTGCACACTTTCTCCATGCATTTACTAATACTTTTCCAACATAACCTGCATTATCAAAATAAAGGAAGATATAATTTTAGAATTATGAAGAACCCAATGCAAAATCTAGCATCACTTATTCTTTTGATTTTATATATAATATATGTAATAAATTTCAAGAAATTTTGATAAATATTAAAAGATCTATAAGAATTATATTGGCATCCATGTATGTGATTTACTATAAGCATGATTCTGATGAAAGAAAATTAGAAATTGCTGTAACAAAGTTTGCATAATTAAGAAATAAAATGATCATAGAAATCTTATACCATATACATATGAAGCACACATTTGATAGCCAACTTAGTCTTCCTTTAAAAAATTATAATCATTTGCTTTTTAATGTATTATAATTACTACTATAATTGAGATGATGACTTTCAAAGAAACTTATTTGAGAGTTAGAAAAAGGGAGCAAAGATCTCACATAAGAACCCTGGATTTAAGAGGAGAAAAGTAGAGAGAGAGAGAGAGAGAGGAGTAGAAACACAAAAACAAACTAAATAATTATAATAAAAACAAAGTGTAGCACGTACTATAAAACTTATTTTTTTTCACAGAGGTTGTACTGATGGAGCATCTTGGAAAATTGTAGACAAAGATGGTGTGGAAGTTTTGGAGGATTAAGTTTACCCAACTCGAGTAAAAATAAAAAATAAAATAAGCGCACACACACACACACAAAGATTTACAAAATAAATTACCTGGAAATATTTGATGTTTAACTTGCAACTCTATTACCAAGTGCTCTGAGTAATTCTTCCTTCATTGCATTCATTGCACGTTGTGTCTCCTCTTTTTGTTGTTGTAATTGTCTTGCTGTTGCTTCCTGAGTCTCTTCTAATTGTTTGGTAGTTCTTTCCTGATTCTCTTGCAACTCCTTAATTAATTCTTGTTGCTCCTGAATTTTCTTTTGTTGCTCACGTATTAAGCTTTGATGCTCTAATTGATGTCTTCCTTTGCTGAAGCCAGGCAAGGCAGTTCCCTTTCCACGGAAGTACCCTGATCTTGGTTTCAAATATAAATTTTGTTTTCCCATGTACTTTTATTACTTTCTCTCTCTACTTTTTTGCATACCCAATGTCAATTTACTTTTTCAATGTACTTTAACTATTCTTATTTGTGTTTATTAATTCCCGTGACAAATGCCCATAAGGGACTATCAAAAGGGGACGGAGGTAGTAATAATAGGATAGTGCCCATATTAATACAATTCCCCATTTTCCTTTCCCCACCACATAGTCCACAATCCAAATGAAGACATATATCTTAAGATATATCATATTGCATAATTAAGCATAAAATAAATTTGATAGTGGAATAAGTAAAGTAAAATTAAAATCATAGATATAATCTTATTACCAATACACAATACATGTAGAAGACAAAGATTAATAACTCAAAGTTATTTAGCAATTTCAATTTTAATCCTAATCATGATAACGCATGTAAATATGAAAAGTGAACAATAAAATCCAACTATCTACCTGCTAATACATGCTGTTATACAATGTTGATTGTATATCTTTTGTTAATTTTTTTTTCTTTCTTTAGGGGTCTTTAGTTAAATTTCATTGTCATGAAAATTGTAGATATAATTTAATGATAGATAAACTTATTATTAATCAATATGAATCATCAGAGAACATATCTCAAATGTATTACAATTTGTAACAAATTTCTCAAAGCCAAATGAACATATCATACTTTAAACTTTAACTAACCATACAACTTCAGTTTATTTAGCATTAAAGACTAACCTTTTACAATTAGAGAGGTAATCAATTTCTATTATGCTACTTCAATCTCTTTGACCAGTGAAGTACGTGATCAAAACACTAAGCCTCGTCAAGTGCTACTACTTGAGATCAAATATCACTGGTTCCTGAGATTAAATAATGCAAAGGAGGTTAGCTTACTCTGTACTCTAAGAAAGATAGAGGATTGTCAAGGGCATAAAAAAAAAAAAAAAATAGGTGACCAAATTTAAAATGAAGTATTTTTGGAAAGCCGAGATAAAACAAAGAATTGGAGGGGCTACATGTATATAAACTACAAAATAAGTTAAGAAGAGGTACTAAGCTTGTTCAATTTTCCCTGGAGTTGTCTGCAATATGACATTCTTGAACCTCAAACTTTTGAATTAAATAGGACTAAGAGGTCGATAATATATCTGCCACAATTAACATGATCAAAATTAAACTCTTCTTTTACCTCCTTTTTTTTAAGGAAAAGAATAAACTTAGAAAAAAGTTTGCCGCCAACAAATATAACGCAAGGGCTAGAAGGAACATTCACCAGTAATGTTCGACACCCTCAATATTATCGAGACCCACATCTTTCTACTAGTTTATGTGACTTCAGTTTTTATTTTTCTTACTTAATAATGCAATAGAAAGATAGAGTTGCAGCGATGAGATGAGAATTAGTGGCTAGATTACTTTGCCGGAGAACGAGAACGGTGGCGGGATGAAAGCGAAATAATGGCGCGTGAATGAGGGTAGGGTTTTACAATTGGGATTAGTAAAGTAAGACATTCTCTAAAAAGAAGCTTCTAGTCCACTAGTACAATCTTTTAAACTTTTACCTTTTTTTTTTTTTTTTTTTTTTTTTTTTTTTTTGCTACAAAGATGTCGTTGTGGTATATTAATTGAATATTTAACAACAAAGCAAGTCGTTGCTGTATTTTATACAATATATTGCAACCAAAAAAGTTGTTGTAAAAAATGGACCGTGAATTAATTCAATCTCGCGCGTTGGCATGGTGTGGAGGGAAATGAAAATTTACCAACTGCAACGACATTATCGTTGCTAATAAAATTTTCAGCAACGACTACAATGTTGTTGCCAAACATTTGTTGCGATAAATGGATTTTCTTGTAGTGACCGCTACAAATGACCCTGGTTGCATATTTATAAGCAAAGCAATCCTCCAACTAATTTAAATATCAATACCTAAAAGCACATTCTAGACTACTCATTTGAATAACATTTCACATGTCCTAATCGGACTACACCAAATTGGCTAGATCACTAGGATCTTCCATTTTGGTGGGCAAGAGATTGATTGATCGAAACTTTTTGGGTCTAGAATGATCCTAACCCAACTCTTCAGGTTCAATTCAATTATGGACCAACTTAAACTTGTTAAGTGATTTTTTTATAGGACCTGGGTGAGTCGGGTCCCTAATTCAAAGTATAATTTCCACATATTAGTCCAAACTAGAATATGTACAACCCTATGTAGTACGTATGTATTTGATTTGCAACATAATTTTAAAAACCTCCCTTGAACTTCTACCAATAAAGCCACCTTCTACATCTTTCTCAACATAATGCAACCTCTTAAACCTAAAGTAATTAGGCCAATAATTATAATGTTTAGGTGGCTTAAGAGGTGATTTGTGAGGCTGTGACAATTAGGTTTTGAAATTAAATGAGATTATTATTATTGTTATTATTAAGGTTTTTGTGAGTTTATGTCCATACATGAATGATTAGTATGTTAAATAATATTTACTACGTACAAACTTCATTTTTGTAATTTAACTTGTAAGTTTTAACCTAGAATTGCTAAAAATCTAGAAATTAATTTGCTTTTATTTTTATTTTTTTTTATCAAAACTGTGTATAATTGCTATGATTGTTATGTGTACATTTTGATGTATTGTTTCCTTGTTGGGATAAGAGGGAATGAAAATGGATGTGGGGGGGGGGGGGGTTAATTGTGTTATGTACATGGTGGTGAACGAGTAACGTTAACTAAATTCACCAAAATTGGCCAAAGAACTATTGTAATGTTGTACCAATGAGGTATTATTGTCGGATTGTCATTGTGGTTCATTCGGACCAAAAAGAAAAAAAAAAAATTACAAAGAAAAAAAAACTAGTGTAGTATTGTGCCAAAGTAGTTGGAATTGTACTGTTGCACCTCCTAAAATGAAGTTGGATATTATCACTATAAGAAACTAATTTTCCTAGCTGTTTGCCTATTTTCATTTCTCTCTTTTTAAAACAAATATGTTTGGTGTATCTGTCTCATAGTTTGTTTTGATAGTATACCGGATTTTTTGGATCATATAAGTCAACTTTCCTTTAAAATCCTAGGTTTAAGATAATTTCTTTGCTCATAAAAACACAACATTTATCTTCTTTTACCCTTCCTCCACCATTGCTCTTCTCTTCCTCCTCTCATCATTTTTAACATCTCCATTATAATGGGGAGTGAAGGAAGAGATGAGGAAAATCTTACTCAAAATTCTTCCATTATTTTTAGTAAGACCAAGAAGAAAGGAGGCTGGAGGGCCGTCAAATATATCTTAGGTAATGCCTATTCATGTTTCTTTTTTAAATCCGATATATTCTTACTATTTAACAACATATATGCATTACTCTACTATTACGTATTTGAATGTGTTAGGTCCTATTTATACTAAAGGTCGGACCTATCACATTGTTGTTATCATGTTAAAATTAGGCCGGGCATGTAATGCATGTCTTAATAAGTCAATATTAATGTATTAAAATGTGTTAGGTCCGATTTACACTACAGGGCGGACCTATCTTCTCTTTGTTGTTATCATGTCAAAATTAGGCCGGGCATGTAATATAATGCATGTGTTAATAAGTAAATATTAATTAATATAAGGTTGTTACTAATATAGTTTTGGTTAAAATTTGTGTTGCAGCAAATGAAACATTTGAGAAGCTGGCGTCAATGAGCTTGATCTCAAATATAACAGTGTTTTTGCGCACAAAATATAATATAGATGGAATATTATTGGTAAATGTAGTTAATATATGGTCAGGATGTTGCAATTTTTTGACGATGCCAGGTGCTTTGCTTTCTGATGCCTACCTTGGTAGGTTCTGGACTTTGCTTATTGGTTCTGTCATTTCTATGCTGGTAAGATTTTTTTCCCATTTTCCTCGCATTTTAAATTGACTTTTTCCATTTTTTTTTTATTTTTTACAAAAGAAAATTGTATTTGGTCAAAATTATTTTTTTTTATTTTAAAGAAGAAAAAAATGAGGGGGGAGTTTGAACTGTTCAACACTTGATCCACTAATGAAGTAGTGAAGTACTACTTATTTTGACTGTGATTCTATAGAATTTAGTAATGATTTAATTTTAATAATAACAATAAAATTAGTTAATACACTGTATCTATTACTATTCAAAATAAAAATGGGATTTATTAATTTGTATTTAATTGAGATGTTCTAATCAATAAATAATGATCATATAATGTCCATTATACATTGTTATAGTATACCATGCACACAAACCCACCAATGCGAATAAGCAATTAATAAAGTAGGTGTACAATACTCCCATGTATAATGGAAATGTTTCCGCGATGCAACGTTCTATATATTTGTAAGAAAATTCAAATTGTATCTTGAATGGGGGTACTATTACAAGTAAACTTCTTTGTTATCAAGAAACCAAAGCAATTGTTTGCATTTTTTTTTACACGAGTGATTCAATAGTGTATTTTTAGTACACAAATTACTTTAACAAAGTGAAAAGTAACAATGTAGTTTATAATAAATGGATTGATTCTAACCAACATTTGAAATTACAGGGGATGGGAATATTGACTCTAGGATCAGGAATATCAAAACTAAGGCCACCACCTTGTACACCACCAGCAGATTGTATCCCACCAACATCTTGGCAACTCGCAATTCTGTTCCTAGCTCTAATGATGCTAGCCATAGGAGCCGGGTGCATAAGACCGTGCAACATTGCCTTTGGTGCTGATCAATTTGACATAAGAACAGAAAAAGGCAGGGCCTCATATTCGCGCTTCTACAACTGGTGGTACTTCTCCTTCACACTTTCCCTCTTGGTAGCACTCACCTTAGTAGTCTATGTACAAACCAACATTAGTTGGACTATCGGGTTTGCTATCCCAACCGTGTGCTTTGCATTCTCTAGCTCGATTTTCTTGATTGGTTGCCCTACTTACATATACAAGAAGCCTCAGGGGAGCATCTTTATTGACATGGCTAGAGTGGTTGTTGCAGCCTTCAGAAAAAGGAAGTTGACTTTAGAGGAAAATGATGAAAGTCATCAAAATTTTTATGATCCTCCTATTAGTGATGATCGGTTAGAATCAATGGTGCCTAAACTTACTAGAACGAATCGACTAATGTTCTTAGACAAAGCTGCTTTGATTACTCAGCCTGATGAGCTAAATCGTGTAGGACTAGCCAAGAACAATTGGCGCCTTTGCAGTGTTCAACAAGTTGAGCAACTAAAATGCCTAATAGGAATTTTGCCTGTTTGGTTGGCTGGTATTCTGTCTTTTGTGTCAATGGACCAACAGAACACTTTCGGTATTTTACAAGCACTTCAAATGAATCGGAAACTTGGGTCACATTTCACCATTCCCCCTGCTTGGATAAGTTTCGCGGCTATGGCTGCTCTCACCCTGTGGATTCTATCATATGAGCGCATTTTTCTACCCTTAGCCAGAGTACTACTGAAGAAGAATGATGTGAGGTTGTCAGTCAAAGCGAGGATCAAGATAGGAATAGTTATGTCAATACTATGTATGGTTATAAGCGCGGTGGTTGAGTCTAAGAGACGTGAGTTGGCCTTAAAAAATAATTCCTATGTTTCTCCTCTTAGTGTGGCATATCTAGCACCACAACAGATACTGTCTGGCTTAACTGAGGCCTTTGCCGCGGTTACCATCATGGAGTTCTTCACCACACAGATGCCTGAAAGCATGAGATCATTGGCTGGCTCGATCTTTTTCATTAGCTTGTCTATGGCCAGTTACTTTGCCACGGCTATTGTTAACATCATATACCGGGCTACTCGAAACAGCCAAGGAGTGGCATGGTTGGGTGGACATAATCTTAACCAAAACAAGCTTGATTACTTTTATGCCATTGTTGCTTGTGTAGGAGTCATGAACTACTTCTATTTTACGTTCTTTGCTAGCAAATATGTGTTCATTGATAGCAACAACACCAAGACAGTTGAAGCAGCAAATTCGAGTGTAGACGAGCATACAAGGGTGGAATGAAGGTTTATTTCAATGTCGCATTTTATTGTGTTAGACTTAGCAACCTTGTCATCCATGATCTTTTTTCTTGTACTTTCATGGTTATATTTGAACAAGATAGTTCTCCATTTTAATATTTGTACTAGCAGACCCGATCTCATTAATAAGTACATTATTAATGAATGTCATGTCATTTGTGGTCGCAAAAATATAATTAGGATGATTAGGCCTTGGCAGATTGTAATCAAGTGTTTTTAGTTATTGTCATTAGTGGGAATTCTAGATTTGCTTAATGTTTTTCAAAAGAGTAATTGTTATTGTTATTAGTTGTATTAATCGACTTTGAACTACTCCGTAATTGTTAGATGTGAGTCATGTGACTACTTTTTAAAAGTTATTTTCAGCATAATTCTTACTCCGTCCAACTAGCAATATGATTTGGAGAGACAGAACAAAGTACCACCTCAATGGCTCCATAAAATATACTTCCTCCGTTCTTTTTTTATTGCACCATAAGGGGTTTCACGCTTGCCAATGCATTACTTTGGCTATCAATATCTTTAATTATACTTTTGTAAAAATTATAAAAAAAAATTGATATTTGAAAAGTAGATTTTAAAGATTTTTCGCAATACTAAAATCTACCTACAATGACTATTTCACCGAACACTATTTGCCTATTATAGTGAAACTCTGAAAATTACATAAAATGTTACCAAGCAATACAAAATGCAAATAATCACTTAACAACAACATGTAATGGTGCTATTGTGCTACACTATGGAGAATTGGAGATGGTAGATTTAAGATGAACATTTGCGATGTTTCTTTTTTTTTTTTTTTTTTTTTTTTTTTTTTTTTTTTTTTTTTTGATTCGTATGAGGCAGAGCCAAGAACTAGAATGAACATAAACATAATAATTACAGAGTATTCTAATTAACTTAAGCCAAGCTTTGAAATGAGCAAGTAAAAAGTCGAACTCTATCGCTTAACAGTGTGCTTGCACAACTATGAACTATGAAGCAAGATTGTTACAGTCAAAGAGTCTCAAAGACTCAAACCTCATCACTTTTTAAACACCCTTTACAACACTTAGAGATCTATTAACAACTATTTCAGATGCTTATAAATTGTACAATTGAATAAATATATGAGAACACAGAACCCACTTACAAGTTACAACTGTGAGCATTCATAAACAGATCTTACACATGTCTATTCTACTTTGTTCAGTCTCAAAGTTGTGATCACCATGTCCTGAGTGGAAGAGTTTGCAAGTATATTTGACCAAACTCTTTCACACAAAGCAAAGATCATTCCACGAACAGCTATTCAACTTCGAGACTAGATTCTAACTGGTTGATGATTAGCTCACTGTTACCATTACTCCAGAAGAGAAGGACCAGCATAGATTCCAGGACGCATTTGGACATTTGGCGCTTCTATCTCCGCAAGCCATGCATATTCCTCTTCTTTTCCATCACCTATAGCTTCTTTTGTAGCTAAAATAACAATAGTAGAAGGTCAGGGGATTGCAAATAACTCAGACCTGTTCGTTATCAGTTTTTTTAATTTTTTTAAAGTGATTTTGTGTTTCAGTTTTCTATATAATAATGATTTCAATCAATTTGACTAATATCTTTATTCTTTATATGACATGTATCTTATGACTTTCAAAAACAAAAAAATCAAAAAACTGAACACTATAGCAATACAACCTTTTTTCTGCAACTTGCCACCACAGATTTTAATATAATAAGGACAAAAGTGAGAAACTTACGAAAACTTGAATATGGATAGTCATGATAATATGTGCATTTTCTGCCTGCATCCTCCAAATATGGAGGTGTGAGAATATCAAGCACGGCACAAGGGGTGACTGCTGTGAAACAATGTAGATTTCCCCCACTTTTGGGATACAGAACTCTGGTCTCACAAGGTGCTGTTAGAACTTTGTCAATCACCAACTTTGCTAACCTCACTGAAAAAACAAGAATCTTAATAAGAAAGAGTTGCAATGTCCTTGAGGATAACTTTTATGTGCCATAGCAATTATGAAAAAAATAGAAAAAGAACAGGACAAATTAGTTGTTACAAACTTGTACAACCCTTGAAATTTTTTTTTTGAAAAAACAACCCTTGAAAATTTAAGTAATTACAAAAGAGGTAAAGAGGGTAACACCGTTAACAAGGGTTCCAATGAAAATCAATACCCAAAACCAATGCCCCCAGTAGGCCAGTATCAAAAGGGAAAAAAAAAAAGAAAAAAAAAACATCCCAACTGCACCCCACTCTTAACATTTTCCCCTGCAGGGAAAACAAGAACATGCGTAATTGTCAAAACTCAATCTTCTATTTATACCTCCAAGACATCCGGACACTCTAATGTGAGTGAAAGGCATTCACATTTCTGTCTATTATCTTTAAGAGAATGAAACCTATACACTGTAGAATTACTTTTCGCATTGCATAAATTATAATGAAAACATTAACAGAAGCAACCAGTTGAAAACTCTTGATTGCATCTTCTCATGCCAGGGTCAAAATGCTGGTGCTAGGAGGAAGAAATCTTCACAGAAAGAAAAGAAAAAGAAAAAAAAGGTGAGATATTGAACTTGGACGAGAGATTATTCCAACTTCAAGAAATTAGTCCGATAGTTCAGATGGTAAATTATGCGAGCAAGCTGATTAAACCAACTGTAATAGGAAATCCACCTATCTAGATACTCTTTCGTCAAATCATTGAAGCTATCAACATTCACATGCATTACAAAATTGATGTGGGATATAATAAAATCACATAAAAAGAAACTAATCTGAGGCTATTATTTGGTGTTATGATTAATTTTAAGTCCCAAAAAAGTGAACTTAGAGTAGAAACTCCTACAACTTTACAAGTCCATAAACTGTAAGGGAAACAGGCATTTGCTACAAACTCATCTGCATAGACTGCATCATAGCATGGAGATTATACTTCGGAAGATTAAACTGTAAGGGAAACCAACATTTAGGAAAAAGAGGTTGTAAAATCCCTTCAACCTGAGGTGGTCAACAATCGTGCTTTTCAAGAAACAGAGTTCTACTAACAGTAAATGGGGGCTGAAGTAATAAGATCTTAGCATGATACACCTTAATCTAGGACAGATAAATTCCATTCAAAATGTTCAGAATAGCAATAAAATTAAAATCAAGAGATGAAAATATTCTCTTATATTTGCAATATTTAAATTAATTCATAAATACTACAACCTGCAGATTCTTGGATGAGTTTTTCCCTTATCCCCTTCCCTCCCCAACTCTGAGGAGTACAAGAGCCTGGCCCACAAAGACTGAATTGTGTTGGACCGTGCAGACGGTGCAGTGTTAGGTCCAGAATTAAATAAATAAATAAATAAATATATAAAACAATTTTTGACTGTACCTTGAGAGTACTCAGAGCCATTGCTCTGAACAACTTGTGGAGGTTCAACCCAGTCATAGGCCTTCACATGCAAGGATCCATACAGAAGTTTGCTGAAAACTGTCATTCCAGGATGATCATGCAGAGGAATGACTGCGGATGTGGGAAAGCTGAATATGCACATCTGCATAATCATACCAGGATGTCAGCGCTTACTGGAGACTGGACTGTCAGTACTAACACATTCATGCTAATGCAATGAATCCTGCATAATTAAGTTTAAGCACTACGACATAATGACAACACAAAACTAGTCCGCAATGATTGGTAACTGGTAACATGAATTCAAGACTAAATCTTTAAACAAATGAAGCATCACCTCAAATAATCTACAGTAATAAGTTTTACGCTTTGAACAGATGTAATGAATCAAAGGAAAGAAGAGTCAACTTGATGGGTACAATAATTACATCTGAAGTTTAAAGCTTTAAAGAGATGAACAAATTTACTACGATTACAATTTAATGTATTTGAACAAATGAACAAATATAATTACATTTGAAGTTTTATGCATTTGAACTATGAACTTCAACTTGAATAGAGTTCCAGGTTAAAGATGCATGAATAAGTTCATCGCACATGAGTCAGTGAAAGTAATACAGAAAAGGAGATATGGTCTTACTGTAAAGGTGTCAGACTCATGGATATCCAGATACGTTATAGGTTGAGCCCATCTAGGAGCTCGGTTGAATGGGTTCAGCAAAGAAAGACCATATCCTCGGTCATCATCTACATTCTCCTCTTTCAGACCAACATCAGCGGGAGTTACAGAGTCTGCAAAGGAGAATATTATCACAGATCACAATTTTTAAAGCTAGATATCTTGTATTGTCTTCATGCTGTGAAAAAGAAGCCATCTGGCACACAATTAGTTTTACAAACATTTCTATAGCCTGTTTGTTCACAAATAGATAGATGAGAAGAAATTTATGTGAGTATAGCTAAACTAATTATTAGCATTGAAATATTAGGAAACATGGCATTCAATCCAGGCGCCATTATGTGGCCTGATTCTAGCATAATGTTCAGTGTTCTGATATTAAAAATGGGTCAACCCTGGTGATGTTCACCAAACTTTCCAATACAACTTTTTGCAAGTGGAAATTTAGATTTAATGATAACCTGTCCTGTCATATTTACACCTTTCTTCAAAAAAAAAAAATTTAAGTTCTATATTATTCTTTTTAGTGACAGAGATTGCAACGATGAATTGCTAGTACAAATAGCATTCTTACAATTGAAGAAGTTAGGCATACATTCTAAGAGATCAATAATACAGGCTGCTTGGCATTTTAGTGAAATTTTGTGCGTTGGAGAGCTACATTTGTCAAGAGACATTAACTTAAATACAAAGAGCAGAGAGCCTAACGAAAATGCATATCATACATTCTAAGAGATTTGTAATACATATTGTGGTTAGTATTTTTAGTGAAATCTTGTGCATTGGAGTACCAACAGTACTACAGCCGAGTGACTAAGAAATGTTGAAAAATGCATAGATTAAACTAGATTTTCCTAAATTTTGCAGTGGTGCATTGTAGTATAGTTGAGCTCCACGATAAGTTGAAACAAGGATCTCAGTTTTTAAAGTGGCCTTTTCCTTTTTCTGTTGAGTGTAAAGTGGCATTTACTTGAATGATTCCAGTAAGGAAGTATACACTTACGTGTTACATCTTACATCCGATACAACATCAATTAATTAATTCAAAGACAAAAGAAACATGCAGGTATCAAATCCTTGTGCAAGCTAGCAATCTTCAAACTAAGACAAGTACCAAATGATGATTCTAGGTCCATAACATGATATTCCACAGTTCCACTACATAAATTATAAAACTGTTCTTTTTACAATTCATCTGAGCAACTAAAGAGATTGTAAGTGCAAGAGCAAAAGAAGGATGAAGAGAAGTTGAATTTCTGTAGCAGCATAAATAGAAGAAAAGAACCAGTAAATTCTGCATTCACACTTCATTTATTACTTATTAGTTGATGTGAAGCTCTAATGTCAAATATTCATACTTCAAAGCGCTAGCAACATTCTTTCCTTGATTTCAGGGAAAATCAAAATAATTTATTCTTTTGAGGCCAATAAACATCTCCTTCTACTCTCCAAGATAAGCAACTGCAAGCACTTCTTTGGCAAGTTGCTAGATACATTATTAATCATAAATAATTTAAGAATTATACTTGTATGATATTCTGCAGTTAAAAACCCAATCAACCTAAGCCAGATCATGGCTTCTGCATAATCTATAATATCTAGGTACCTATGGATTTGCTTCTATGAAGAGAATTAGGGAAAACAAAGATGGGAGGAAAGGGAGAAAGTAGAGACTATAAAATATCTTACAGTCAGAGGACTACCCTCAAACGCCCAAAATACTCTCCTTCACATCAGAATGAAAGATCATATAGCTCTTTATGACTAAATAAACTTGATTTACACTTACCTTTAAAATTCAGAGTATATACATTTAAGGGGGAAAAAAAACAAAAAAAAAAAAAGAAAAAAGGTTATGATATATAGGAATACATATAAATACCAAATGACTTTTCTAAAATAGTATACAATTGAGAATTCAAGACAAAAATACGTGTGGATCAGTGTTATTGACGTTTATTAATTCTTAATATTATCTTTTACAGCTTATATATGTAACCCTTGGGCTATGTTTATCATTTTCCATATAAAAATAAATATACAGAAAAATGTTGATTTACATCCTATATGGCAATTAGTAACTGTTATGATACAGCTGATTCTAATAGCAAACTTCACTAGTGGTTTGAAAATTGAATATTTAATTTTGTTCAAAAATTTTAAAGATGAGAAAAATGGCACACCAAAGCATGAGCATTTTCAAATACTCATTTTTCCCCATTTAAATTATATAGTAAGCCTATCAATTATATAAGATCGTGAAACGATACTCACCCATCAACAAACAGTATCCCTAATTTAAAAAACACAAATGAAAGAAATATAAACTTCTCCAAAAAAAATCTTGATTATTTAACTCATTCAAGTGTTAGTTATCTTAGCATAGAATAGATTAGATAGACAAAGTAAACTTAAGCATTATTAATACAACAAAAACACTCAAGAGTTAGTATAAAAACTCTCTTGAAAGAAATAGAGAACAGAGCTGCCAGAAAAAAATACAACCCTTGCACACCCACGATTTCAACCCCATCCTTTGTTCCTCGCCAGCTTCTGAGTTCTCCTTTTGGCATTTCCCCACCATATCCATATTTTTCAGCTCCAACAGTCTAACCCCTCAAGACTCCAACCTCCTTAAGGTGTTTAAAGCCCAATTTCTCATAAATCTGGCAATAAGTTGCTGGAAACAATGCAAGTGCTCCCAGTTCTTATGTCTTTCTTTCACTTCTTCCTTTTATTGATCACAATCAGTTATTATAGATAGAATCAGCAATCTGCCCTTAAGTCCGAATGGTAAACAATAATAATTCTCTTATACAAAACAAGTTTCTCCAAAACAAGTTTCTCCAATTTGATGGTTCATTTCTTTTTCAAAAGAAAGTTGTGAGCAGAGTGTATTTGAATATTACATTAATATAGTAGCTTCAGTTTCTTCCAAGTCTGGGGCATGTACATTGATTTCCAGAAAATTCTCCAAAATGTGAAAATGAGGTGGGAAAAAACTTCAAAATGTGAAAATGAGGAAAAGAGTTGCATGGACATGAGCATGGGCATGGGAATCTAACTTTGAGATCCAACACAATAACTTTCATGATGAGCGTATCCCCTTTATGAGTGATGATAACAAAAAGTAAAGTATCGATTTCAGATCTAGGACAGGAAGATATAGAAAGATATAGCTGTATAGCACTTGATTAGTCACTATTCCATTCTATTCCTCAAGTCTCAATAAAATTGTCCTACCCAATACCCATAGTCTCATTTAAAAAAATGAGTATAAGCCTTCTCACGTGATGGAGACAAAGAGAATAACAGCTATATAGTTGCTTTCCAGACACTATAAATACATAATGAAGGAATGCAAAGGATAGAATTGAAGGATTCTTCTCCAATATCTTTATTAACGTCTCTAAAGAACCATTAGTTCTAGGTAGTGGATTGAACCACCTATCTTTCACATAGAGCAGAAACTTGCAGGTTAGATGTGACATGTTTGAATATCCTTAAATTACACTAAGATGTACAACACCTCTTTATTGGTACACCACCATCACTTTAGAAATAAATGCACTATACCAGTATTACCAAAAGCACATGATCACTTAAACATCTGTCACAAAAGAGTTGATATCTAGTCCTTTCCATCCAAAATGCCAATCCATTTTAACTTCAAAGTTGGGAAGAATGGCAAGGAACATAATCTTGAAGGGTAATTTCCTCTTTTAACAACTTTAATTTTCTTACACAAACAGGAGCAAATCATACACAAATACACAATAAAATTTTCTTTTACCACACAGTTAACTACCTCCCAATCCCTTCCCTTCCCTTCCCCTTCCTGATTCTCGGAACGTAAAATAGACTGCAAAAAAGTAATAATATGTAGCCTTCCATGCTACCCTCATCCCCCATTCACAAATCGAGAGACCTTATCACCATGCTGTATGTATTTATTTAACAACATACCATCAAATTTTCCACACATCAACTACTAATTCCTGAAAAATCAGCAATACCCACATGCAGAAACAAACATTTTACTGAACATTACATCCAATAAACATCCAATTCTAAAATTAATGAACTATATCCAACAAACATCCCAATCTTGAAAAATAAAATGAGTTTTATATCCAATAAACATCCAATCCTAAAAAATTCACAACAATAATCAACATACTGCAAACAAAACAGCAGATTCTCACATAATTAGATATACCCACATGCAAAAGCTAGAATTCATCAACAAAACAACCCATAAACATCCAATTCTCAAAAAATCAAAACAAGAATTCAGCATATAACACTACCTCCAATGTAATAACTGAAAATACTGAAAACCCATTTGCAAAATCAATCTAAAATTGATTCTTGAAACATAAAAAGCAAAAATCAAAATGTAAAAAGAAAGGGAAAATGGAAAAATACCCAGAAGAGAAGAGAGCTTCTGAACGACATGAGAAGAAGGTGGAGGAGGAATTGTAGTCAGAGAAAACATCTTCTTGCAAAAATCGTAAATTGTTTGAATTTTGGAGGTTTTGTTAGCCATATCCACTCTTGTTTATTGGAGATCCTTAATGAAGAAAATTGTAGTATGAAATTTGTTTATTGTTCTTCTTCCTCTATCTTATGTTGTTGCGCTGTGAAACTCATTCTTACAAAGTAAAATTAGGAGCTTTTTCTTTTCTATTTTTCGACTTTTCTTGGCTGAGTTGCGCAAATTCTGTAGGCTCTATTTGTGTTTGGTTGACTGCAATAGCATTAATTTACTCAAAAAATATCTAATTCACATTTTGACTTGTAAGGATACATTTTTAACATGACTCGGTTTCCCTCTGGAAACAAAAAATAGCATGACTCGGTTTGAAATTAAACCCGACTTAACCTCGTTGAATCCGACCTAGACTATACCTAACGAGTCACTACTCACTAGTAAGAGTCAAGAGGAGTTGTAGGCTATTACAAGGCTCAATATATGTTGAAGTAGTTACTAGATGGCCTACATTTGCTATCTAATCAGTCAATTTATTAGCTTCTCTATTGTCAAAGTTATAGAGAGTACTTAAAATTATATTATGCTCATATGCTGTATTTTAAAGTTGATTGGTGTAATACCAAGGTTGAAAGTACAAAAGGAAATGACTTGAGATTGAAAGGCATGAAAGATGACGTCAATCGTTAGCTACTGTAGAGTTCCCCCTTTTTAGAGCCATTAAATGGAGTTTAATGGTTTTGTGACAAGGAGGGGCTCAATTAACAAGATTAGGGGCATGTTCACATTTATTGAATTGAGTTGAACTGAACTAAACTGAACTGGTTGGAGCTGAACTGAACTGAACTAAGCTGAAATGAATATTTTATGAGAAAGGGAAATTAGGAATTGAACTGAACTGATTGGAGCTGAACTGAACTGAACTGATTGGAGCTGAACTGAACTGAGATGAGCTGAAATGAAATGAATATTAATTTTATGAGAGAGGAAAATTAGGAGCTAAATTGAACTTAACTGATTGGAGCTGAACTGAACTGAAATTAAACTGAAGTGAACAGGTCCTAAGAGGGTGTTGAGGCGATGAATGATAATGAAGGAAAAGAAAGGATACCTGCAAGTTGACAGGAGTATAACATTTGCCGGAATTCTCATTCTTTTCGGGAAAAGGTGGCTTTGTGATAGATTTTCTATGGGGTGCAATATACATTGTTGAAAATACAGTCATATAATTTCCTTCTTTCCTAATACTCCAGACGAGAAATATTAAACGAACGCAACAAATGACATGTGCAATTATCAAAATAGTATATAACAAATATGGAGTAGCTGAGATTACGAGGTTCAAGTAAAAAATTAAAGGTTAAGGTCAATCTGTACACTGCAAAGTAATTAATAAGTTCATCTCAATCTTATAATAAGCTATTATGAGTGTGTCTTGTATTGAAGTTTGCTATAGAATAAATGATTTTGTTTGAGATATTTCATATACTTTCGTACGTAATAGAGTTGGCAATAATACACCTAAATATTATCTACCAAATTTAGTATGCGCATATTACACAAACCTAATTTGCAAATTTCAACTAACGAATAATGTATTTTCATGTCGTCAAATACACAAAATCAATACATCCACAAATTTAGAGGTGCGATCTCAACAAGGTAGTCTGAAGTTTCCACATTTGTGCGAACTCTCCACTTTCTTAGTGCAACTGTGCAAACTCTCACTATTTTTTGAAGGTAAGAAGAAAGACCCTAGTCGTGGTAAGGAGAAGACCTTAGCCGTACCTCAACCCTCGTGGTTTTTTGGTCAGGTAGTATGATGTTTCTACATTGGGGAGAACTCTCCACTTTGTTGGTGCAACTATACAACCTCTCACTATTTTTTTTAGGTAAAGAGAAAGACTCTTACTATACCTCAACCTTAACGGTTTTTTGGTCCACACTCTGAGAGTGAGGGGGAAGGGTATGGGATCTCCACCCTCAAAAATGTCTCTAGTAATGATTGAACTCCCAACTTCAAGATCAGAAGATGTAATCCTTACAACTAGACCAAGTTTGGCTTGGTATGCAACCTCTCACTATGACTGGAGCGTTCTTGCCTTAGAAGCTCAAAGTAGTATATAAATTTTGCTACTCCATATCCGTTGAAAACCCTCTCCACATTTTTGGAGTAATCTTTCTACCTTTACGGTGTACTTTTCCTAGATATAAATTTATAAATTAAACATACATAAAGAAGCAACCAACTAATCAATATTTAAATTCCATTTCAATATTTTGATGTTATCCCTTATGGTCTTATCCTATTACGAATGAGAGATTGTTACATATATTCGAGTTCACGGTACACCCAAAAATCTTTATTTGTTCATTTGATGATAAAATGAGAAAAAAAATATTCTAGGTGCACCGTGCACCCGAGTATATAAAACAATTTCGAAATACGGACTACGGTAGTAATTTTGTGTTCATTGGATAATTTTATGGGAGCCAAAAAAAAATCCAATATTTTCCATAACAAAAATGAGACCAAAAAGAGAGGACAAAAGAGCCCAATCCTCTCCACCAAGAAACAGAGGACGCACCACCACCACCTCACCGTCGCGCGCCTCCAGAATTTCCCCTCCATCAGCTTCACTCTCCGACCAAACCACCACTGAGCTACTCACTGAGTTCGAAGAACTCCGAGTCACTGATAATTCCGAGTACAACCCACGAAGCTTTCCTTATAGTGTGAAGCAACAATGCTGGGAAAAGGCAGAGAAAATCAAGGGTCGAGACCCAAGTCGTTGGAGAAGGGACCCACTTGGGAACATCGTCTTCCGCAAGCTTGTTGGCTGCCCTGGTTGCTTGTGCCATGATTACGACCACATTCTTCCTTATTCCAAGGTATGAATTTTTTCGAATTAATTGAAATTTTTAAGAACAATTTCTCTTTCAACTAGTTATTTAGCTTTATTTGTTGCTCTAATTTGATGGGGTTTTCTTGAATTTTTAATTTACTATTGTTGGTTGATCTTATTATAAATATTAAATAAGATGATAGTTACATACATCAATGTACTTCTATTTTAGGTATTTGAGTGAATTGATGTGAATTTGATCACTTTGTGACTGTTGCATTTGTGGATTTGCTCTTGCAATCTTGTTTCATTATCTGAAATCGAAATTGGCTTTGCCCCATTCTCACAAGTGCAAGTTACCTAGCATAATTATGAGTTGATTGAAGTCCATTGCTTAATTAGCTCAATTTCTGAATGGAATTCAATTGAGTAGAGATTACATACCAAGGTATCGAGCAATGACACAACTTACACAAGGTATAGTGTAGGTCTAGGTGTGGTAAAAAGGTCACATTACTTTGTATGTGTTTGATTGGCGATACATGATGGTGCATGAGGTTATTCAAGAAATTTGTGCTAAGAAATACAATTGCTCCATGTCAATGTTTCACGACTTTCAATTCAAATCTAATTAATAAGATGTAGAGAATTTTGAAATTATCTTGACTCTAGATATGGTGAGAGAAGTTGCAAATCAAGAAATGCAATGTTAGATGGATATGGTAGATTGGTAACATCTCAACTTTTGCCCTACCTTAACAAACTTACGGAGCCATACCTAGTAGGTATCGGTCTGAGTGAGTTACATCCAAACTTAGAAGAATTTGGAGATGGAGATGGATGACAACAAAGATAATGAATGTGATGATTTAGATAAACTGTTAGTGGTATTCCTCATAGTTAGAATGTTTGACAATCCTCATCATTTTTGTACTTATTATACATTGATATGGCTAGGTTTAGTGAATAGTTACAATTTAGGCGTACGAATTATTCACTACACCTATCCCTTCACTGATAACTTTTTATTTGTCTTCTCTTCATCATTTTGTTTCTAATCATCACCAAGTCATCTCTAAGTTTGGATCTATCCTCATCTGTATTTCATACAAATGATATCATGTTTATCCAATATTGCAATTCTCAATGTTGCTTCTCTCTCATCATCTTTGGGATCTACAACAATGTCAATAACACTTTCATTGAAAGGGATTGAGTTGGGTGGTTTATCATTGTCTTTGTTCTGTGTGCAAATTCATGAATATAAAATTGAAACATATAAAATTGCCTCTATCCTCAACTTGCACTGTTACACCTTGGTACATAATTTCTTAAAAGTCCCATCCGTGAAATTTAGCAAATTAGACAATGAACCTTAATTGACTATTAACTGTTGGATAACCCTATTCTTTTGAATTGTTACCTGATCCTTCATTTCAATATTCATTCTTTGCAAATGACCTTCCATGTCTCCCTCAAAATTCTATCATGTTCACATATCTCTTTAGAATCAACTGGAGAGGAGGGATTGGTTGAATAGACTCGCTAGACATTTATATGTATCAAAATAATGAATGACACAGCAAACATCTTTACTGCCTGCCCGCTACCCATGATTTTTCTCAAAATACCACTCTGATCCCGTTTTGCCTCTAGCTTCTTTACTCTTTACTATTATCTTTGCTAGTCACAGATGCATTAGACTTAATAGTAGAAATTTCGACAATTTCTGTAAGCCACTTTGAATCCCACAGTAAAATCTTATTCTGGTTTGCTAGACAATGACTTGACTAAACCCATTCTAGCATTAATGATTATTGTTTGATTTGAAGTTGTATTTTCTCTTTAAAAAGATCGGCCTTAAATGTAATCACAATAGGAAAAATGCTACTAGTTCAGGAATAAATAAGGATTTCAAATACTATAATGTACTCACTATTGAAAGTAAACAGTAGAGAGTAGATCTAGAAAGCCTATGTGTAAGGCTCTAAGCTAGCAGTAGTGCTCTCTTTAGAAAGAAAACTCCCCTATTCGGCCAATTGTACTGGAAAAATGTTTGCGAACACATTCCTCCATTGTTGGAGAGATCACCTTCTCCCTCCCCTCCCCTCACCTCCCTTTCCTTTCCCCTTTTTCCTTTACTTCCCTTGCTCTTCACTATTCTTATCCAAACATAGTGTTAGCATATGACCATTTTTGTCTGTTTGTGTTTTTCTTGCCTTGCCATAGTGCTTTTTGAAAGTCAAGTGTAGAGGATGTAGAGTAAAATAGTCTTACACATGTCAAATTTTTAACAAAAGATCATTGTGAGCTATTGTTACGTGCTCTAACAACACCGACTCACCAAGTTACTTCAAATACAACCCAATTACAAATACTTCTTTTAAATTTCTACTAACTTGGCAGTTATTTTGTTAGCGGAACTATTTACTATAAGACTATAAGTGTGGCAGGGTTTGCACAGAATTGATTAAACACTTTGTAAAGAGATTCCAATGACAAAATCCAAGTTTTTAATTTTCAACAATATTGTTCAAGATCGTTGCTTGAAACTTAAATAAAAAGTGCACCTGTGGAATCCCCTTCATTGCACGTGTTAGGGTTCCACTATAGGGAAGAGGGGAGAACATAACCACTTTATAACTATTATAAGCTTGAGGATTTATTCATATCACTAATGGGTTTTAGATGGGACCTCCTTTGACCTTGTGATGTCCAAACTCTCCTCCTTATGGGTGGTTGGGTTTTCTTGAACCTTTTTTATTTTCTCTAAAATTTTAACAATATCCCTATCTGATAAGTGTTTGTGCATATGGTGTACCTGATTTAGTGCTGTAGATCAGAATTTTTAGCAAGTTGGCAAGTCTAAGTAATTGCAGGTTTATAATCTATCACTTTGCTTACCTTATCTGGGCCCTTCTTGTCTCTATAATTGATCTTTGTTATCCAGTTGGGAGATACCTTTAGGTATTGGTTTGGCAACAGAGTGCTTTGTTCTGAACCTTCTATAAGCTAAGTTTTATTTTTCATTGTTCGTATTTGATAATGATATTCTTCTTATCAGATGCTTTTATTTTCAGGGGGGGAAAAGTACGCTGGACAATTGTCAGGTTTTACAGGTACACTAATCTTGTGCATATGAATTATCCTTGCTTTGATTCTTCTTATTTCTTATTTTCTTCCAACCTTGTGTTGCACGTAGTGTGTGCATAAATTTGTTACCCCAACCCCAACCCCCTCTTACAAAGCTACACTTCTTCACATTTTGTGTGATTAGCTATTTAGCTGGTTACCCTACGAATTTGATGAGCAATATGTCATGTGAGTACGAAGTTATCTTACTGACCAGACAATCAGACAGAAGATTTGAAAAGGCTAAAATAGTGGGAATGATACCTTTGAAGCACAAAGGGGACTTGAAACTATATTTCTCAGATCTAGTTATGACTTGAAGCTATGTTACTCAGATCTAGTTTTAGGTGTTTGAGTGTAGATTGAAGCGCCTTACATTTTAATAATTAAATTCAATGATTCGAGAACTTGTGCAAAGATCTCCTAACTCTGGTATAAGTGTAGAGTTTAATAAATATTACTACACCTCAATTAACCCTTCATATTTGGCAATATTACTGAAAGAATTGTTATAGTTGCAATCATCCTTCCCACTTCCATTATAAATTGTTCCCTCCATTCCTAATAGTCTGTTCCGTGTTCATATTTGAGGGACAACCTTTTATGGAAAATGGGATAAACTAATATGGACAAAGGGAGTAGTAAGTTTATTTTAAGAAATATAATTTCAACCATTACTGATTTAGACAATGTGGCCTTTTTCCCTAGCACCCTAAATTAGTACTACCCCTGATTCCGAAAGTTCTTACTGATTTCCGTTTCTTCAGTCTCAGAAAGTTATTACTTCGTAACACTTTCACTTTATCCCAGTTTTGGCAACCCCTTTTACTACTTACCCCTCTTACCCCACAATATTTGCATCTTTCCACTTACTCTCTCTTACTATATCCACCTTTTTTCTCACACCTAGCCACCTTTTACACTTTCTCTCTTAATTCACCTTGTTCTTACACCAATTTACCGCATCATCACTCTCTTCGATTGATTTTTGTTTTCGGAAATAGTGGTAGCCTATGTGATTGTTATTTTTATAATGTGAACAGAGGGAGTATGTATCCTTCGATCAAGGAACAAAGCCTTTACATGTTGCCTTTTGTTCCTAACCCCCATCTTTGATATTGAAATTAAGCCTGGACTCTTTTGCATTGTGGCCAACTTGCATGGATTCAGAAAGGAATAGATATCAAACGATCATACTTCTTAGTGCTTCCAAGAGCAAGTCACACATAATTTTGGGTGTTAAATGAGCTGTCAAGCCTGTCATGTTAATATGAGCGTATTAGGCCAAACGAAGAGTTAGAATATTACCGGGAGAGATGCCTAAGATTTTGACATTTTACCAGTGTGATAGCAACAACGTTTGGCATTTCCCTTTTATAATGTTAGGCTTTGGAGACATAGCCCTTAATCAACTTAATTGGTGCCTTGGTGGCAATAGATTCATTGCAGGCAGGCTATCAATGGTAAGTCCTAGTTTGAGTTTGTTTTGTGTGCTTTTTGTTAATGTTAATGAAATGTTAAATGTTGTGGTGGCTGCATATCACGTCACTTTCACTTCATCATTTCATATTTTCATGCAACCTTCCACAACTTTGTTTTATTGTCTTCCTCATGTTGGAAGTTGAAATGTAACTCTTAAGAATTTTAGTTCTCACAATCTTCTCATTATCTCAAACCACATTGATCATTTATGTGCTATTCATCATGTCAGGCTACTGTTAATCGCTCAAAAGGGAATCGATCTGACATATCCAGAGCAGATCTGATACAGAAGAGTTCCTATTGTCGAGTTTCAGGTATATTGCTATCTGCATTCTGCACTCGCTTTATTAGACACATAAATCAATCTGGTATTCTGGTCATATCTTGTGGCATTTGTGCATTTCACTTGCATGATCTTAGGTGCTACAAAGTACACTGTAATGAAATGTAATCTGAATGATGAATGTGTTAGTTGTCAATATTTGTGTAGATAGATTTTCTTTTTTCTATCCTTATCCATGCTTTATATATTGGATTTCTGCTGATCTTTTGTGTAACACCCCTGTAGCTTCCTCATTATTGTTACTATTCTGGAAAAAATTTGCAGGCCGTGACATGGACCTCCTTGAGTTGTCGGCATTTGGTAATGTTCGTCGAGGAGAAGATTCAGGTGGGTGTAGAATTCAGTAACAACACTGAATGGTAGCAAATTGGTCCTAATGTTATATGCTCATAAAACATTCTTAATAGTTCATCAAGGAGCAGATTCAGGTGTATGTAGAATTCAGTAACAGCGCAGAATTGATGTTGTTCTCGCGTTTTATATTCACAAAACAATCTTAGACTCTTAGTTCCACCTTTAATGCTCATGGTTTTTGTTAATTGTTCATTAAGAGATGATCATTGCCTAGCATTTAGCAAAAGCTGTCGTAACTTGTATACTCTGATTAGATTTGTTTGGATGTCTGATGTATGATGATGCAATTGTTTATAGGTTCAGAATAACACTGTAATTACTGTTAATAATTAGAAAGAAAAAAAGGTTTTAAATATCTGTTTCTACCACATCTTTTATTCCAATCTTTTCAATTTAAGTTGTCCCATTTATTTTTTAGTTGAGCAAAATAACCCTTAAACTTTAAAAGTTGTGAATTAACCCCTCAACTCTTTTATTTTCGCCCAATTTTTACTAAAATGGTGGCTTGACTGGAACTTTATAGCTTTCACACATACTTAAATGATGGAGACTAGGAGAAGCATGATGATATGGAAAGAACCATGATAATTCAAAAGAAAAACTCAAAAAAGTGATTTAACTTTGACCAGGAAAAACTTACAAGAATTAACTCTAAAATCTAAATTAGAATTCTAATAAGAGGAGTAAAAGATAAGATTAGAAAGGTTGACTTATATGAATGATCTTTATTAGTGGATTTCTATTGAGAAGTGTTTGACCATCTTTGTGTTGTATCATGTATTGAGAATTTGAAAGTGATCTTTAAAATTGAATTCCGACTACATTATTTTTCAATTATGACTCTTTGAACTACAAATTGTGGAAAATAAAACTTACTAAAATAATCTTTCTTTAGAATGTTAATGGTTACCATTTATCTCTATGATCTCTTATCAAATACGATCTATTGGTGTCTTTACTGTTTGGAACAATTTTGATCAACTATTGATTATGATAAGCCTTCCCACAAGTGAGATTTAAACTCTAGTGCATAATTAAATAAGATTAATTTCATTCTAGGTATCATTATTTAGGTTCTTGTCAAATCTAAAATGTTAAATTAGATAAGAGTAGTTTCATGCCAACTCAACCAAATCTTAACACTTAAACAATTCCAGTCCAAATACAATCAATGTACCCCATTATACTAACAATTAAGGATTTTTAAAGCATAGAAGACGCACTAATAAATATTGCTAAATGCTTAAAAAAGTTGCTTAATCATTACCTTAGCAAGTGTGCATTTGGAGTGTGGACACCAACGTGGCTTCTACTTCTAGTATTCTAGTATGCATTAGAAAACTAGAAACCTTAATTTTACCAATGAAGCTAATTGTAAGCTTGTTTTCAAAGTCTTAAGAACAAATTCTCTTAGGGATCGGACTCTTGGGCACGGTTAACATGGCTTCGATTATCCCCCTAGGGTTTAATATAAGTTGGCTGAGATTCTAAGAGATCCTTGTGTCTCCCTCAACTACATCGTAATTTAAGTTGGGTGAGACTCTAATAGATCCTTGTGTCTCTCAACTACATCGTAATTTAAGTTGGCTGAGACTCTAAGAGATCCTCTCTCAACAGTCTCAACTACAACATATAGGTAGTTTCACTCAAATTCACATCATTATTTAATATAAAACATACATAATTAAAAAAAAACATCAAAATTATATTTTTAAGTGTTTGTAAAAATTACAATTAATACTTTTGAAGCTTTGTCTTTAGCTTACTAAAGTGAGTTGACTTATGGCATTTTTCTAATGTAGATAAATGGAAACATAGTCAAAATATATATTTTTTAAATATCAAATTTATATTTATCTCTATGCTAATTTATAATACGAAGTATATTTTTTTAAATCTTGCATAACAAGTGTGATAAGTACAATTAAAGAGGGCAAAACTTTTTTTTTTTTGAAAGAAGTCCTAAAAGATATTAAATTTCATTAATAATAGCCATATGACATCTACAATTGACAATTAACGATAATGAAAACGAATTTAACAAAATAAAGAGGGCAAACTTTGGTGGTGGCTAAAACCTTTTTTTCACTTTTGATTTTGAAGAGTGGAGCATTTTCCCTCATTTTCATAGGCCGTACATGTGTTAATGCTATCATTTCTTGTGAAAGTTTTTTTATTTGACTAATTGTCAAAATTCACTAATACAATCTCTATATAAGTTACTTGGTGGATATTACATCACTTCTCTGCCTCTAGTTTTTGACTTTATTTTTGGGATCTTTTCCTTACACGGTATCATTTAAATTTTTTGTGCTTTCCTTTTGGAAGTAAAGGAGGATAATGTTAAAGTTTGATCAATGTAATTGTTGGCCTACCAAAAGGCACAAGCTAAGCATGAAGAGAGCTTAAGGGTGAGTGTTTAGCGCGATTCTATCCTAAAATTATTGTAATATGGACGTAGTAGTCACTTAATGACTTAAATTCAAATGACGACTTAAATGAGACATCATCCTAAGATTTTAATATAATAATAGGACATGACAAATTTTTATATGTAGCTGGTCATACCATGTGGCAGAGGTTACTTGAGTTACTCGGTCATATACTTGAGGGGTTTGGTCAGGGATATATCAAGTTCATCAATTGTCGAATTCATCAATTGTCAAATTAGGCTAATTTGGCACTTGTGAGAACAATATGCCAAGAGGAATTTGTCAATTCTATAATTTTTTTTTAAAAATTTTAAAAAGATTCTATAAAGTAATATATGTCTTCTATTGTTCTCCAATATGGGACAACTTTTGTGGATTTTTCATGTGATCTCAATGTTTACTCGCTTTACAGTTTCAATCCTTTAGGGGATTATTTTTGGGTATTTATATTATCTTCTACATGTGTTCATTCCTTGAGTTTTTGAGTAAATTTTGTATACATCCGGTGTACAGTAATTTACTGTACGTCGGAGATTACTTTTACAATTTTTTGGGTAACTTTTATTTATAAAAATATTTCATAACTTATATTTATGTTATGATAACTTTTATTCATATTAGAGTAACTTTTGATCATTTTAGAGTAACTTTATAATAGAGGTACATTATTTTTTTGTACACTAGGTTAAGTCCTGTGCCATGCGCGGTAATAATTAAACTTATAACAAAAATTATAAAGAATGATGTTAATTTAACAATAATTTACCAAAAAAAAAATATTTGTAACAAAATAATAGTCTTTATTTCTTTAATTAAAGATATTAATGGTTAAACTTGTTTCTGGACAAATGTGCAAATCCAACTATAACATATAAAAAATGGAGGAGTATAAAATAATAAAATAATTTTGTTTGGTTGTGCTTATGCACATTATGCATGATTTTAATATTTATACAAAGTATGCTACCAAAATATTTTTTTTCTATTTTTAATTAAAATAAATTTTAAGTTGAAGGAAAAAAATTGATAATATTATAATAATCTTGGATAATGATATACGAAGTATTTCAATACCTTAATTTTAATCTATGTTACTAAATTTGTAACTAAAAGATTCCTACTATATAAAATATATGTTAAAAAATAATAATAAAAAAAATTGAGTATGATTGGATTAAATGTGTTTTTAAAATGGAGATAAGTATTATTGTAGGTTAAAAATTGGAAGTCATTCAAATTTGGCAAAAAAAAAAATAAAGAAAGAAAAAACAAGGCGGGAAACTTTTCAATGACATCATGTCAAGTGTCACTTTAGGTTCGCTTTTAGTATAGATTATTAATATTAATTATTAATTGATTCGATTTTTTTAAAAAATTTGTCTGAATTCTGTATGTTTATCATTAGCACATATTTTTAAATTTATAAAGGGGCAAGTCTACCTCGATTTTTTTATAATACCTTCATCATGAACTGATTTTCTTTTAAATTCAAATTAGCTTTCTTTTTGGTGGAGTGTTGTAATTTTCATAATACCTTCATCATGAACTTATATATATATAAGGGAGCTTTTCCCGAATTTTTAGAGAGTAAAGTAGGATTTAATTTTTTCAGCGCGCCACCAAGGATAATAAATTTCAGTGGTAGCCAATTAAATACGAGATTTTTCATTTCTTTTAGAATTAAATAATTTAACTGACGTAAGCAAAATTAGTGAATGAGATTATCCAGTTTAAAATAATTAAATATAAAATATTATCTTTTAATATCATGAATTTTATCTAAATATTTAACAGTTTTTAGCACATAGATATATATGTAAAAAATTATTTTACAAAATTCAAACAAACCGCATCGCACGGGCTTCATCTAATTCAACTTAATTAAGAAATAATTGTCACATCAATTCTTTTTTATTTTTGTTATTTATCATTGAATATCTTTAATTTCGTGATTTAAAATACTATAAAAAAAAGTTTATATTTGAAAAATATATATTGATACAAAACTAATTATTGAGCTCTCATTTGATAATTTATTATCTTATGCATTAATGCACAAATTAGTTCAAAGTTAGGTCAAATTTACCAAATTAGAAAACTTCACACGAGTTCATTTGAATTAAGCATAGCTTTACGTGAATATATAGTTGTTTAATTTCTTATGCATGTTGGAGTGGCAAATTGTGACATTATTGCAAAGCTAAAATTAAATTTAAGGTCTGTTTTCTTCAACTTAATTTCAATTCAGTTCAATTCAATTCAGTTTAATTTCTAATTTCCTTCTTTTATAAACAATTCAGTTCTGCTCAATTCAGTTCAATTCAACTCCAATCATTTCATTTCAGTTCAGTTCAATTTAGTAAATCAGAACTAGCCCATAATCATCCAAGCTAAGATTAATATGAAGTACTGGTCTATATTGAGGATCTATTTGTTTCATCTTATCTTATCTTAATTTAACTCTACCTTGTAAAAAGTATGAGCAAACTCTTATAAATTGTGTCTGTTAAAAAAAAAATTAAAAATAAAAAAAAAACTTTTTAATACTGTTGATACTATTATGCCCCTAATAGCGCTTATTTATGTATTAACCCCTTTTAAAATTATGGCCACACTTTATGAATAGTGTTAAAGACGATTATGTCTCAAAGATGTTTATTTACTTTTTTTTTCTCATTGATGTTAATTTTTTTTTTTTAAAAAACCCCTTAATAAAAATAGCTTGTAGACATTTATACCCCTAAACTATTTGTTTACATATTTTTCCTAATTGACGTTACTATTAACGTCAAGCCGAAAGAACTTTCGGACATGACTAACTATGATACGCGCGTTAGCAGACCTAATTACTTTAAAAATATATAATAAGTTCAAATAATTTCAGATAAAATAAAGTTACATAAAATAATATTAGATAAAATAGATTTAT